AAAAAAATGTATCAACATAAAAGAGTATAGACGGTCTGCGACTTACAGTGGTTCAGCTAGGTTTTTTGACTTTGCGATAGTGTGAAACTGTTGCAATTTTGATGTACTTCAGATTTTGAATTTTGATCTTTTTCTGGGCTAGCTATATGCAGTATGTGAGATATTCAACACTTTCTTATAAAATAGGCTTTGTGTTAGCTTATTTTGCCCACTAGTAGACCAGTGTAAGTGTTTTCAGCACATTTAAGGTGGGCTAGGCTAAGCTCTGATGTTCAGTAGGTAGGTGCATTAAATGCATTTTCCACTTAAGATATTTTCAACTTACAAAAGGTTTATTGGGATGTAACTTGGTTGTGAGTTGAGGACCATCTGTATTATAAAATAACTTTATCATATCTTTGTATTTTCAATTTTACTTTGCCTGTTGTTTATTTCTCCTTCCTTACCACCTCCTTTCCTCACCCATTGCACTGGGACTTTGCATTTGCTGGCATCTCTTGCTCAACTCTGTATCTGCAATTATTCTGTGTCATTTTGTCTTAAGCATATACCTTATAACCAGCATTTGTCCAGATTTTGCTTTTTCAGCCAGTCTGAGAAAGATTTGGCCTTATTTCTATTTTTGTATTTATATATTGAACTTTGAAAATACAGTTGACCCTTGAACAACACAGATTTGAACTGTGCAAGTCCATTTTTACATGGATATTTTTCCACCTCTATTGCTCCTGAGACAGCAAAACCAACCCCTCCTCTTTAGCCTACTTAATGTGAAGATGATGAGGATGAAGACCTTATTAACGATCCGCTTCAGTTTAATCAACAGCAAATATATTTTCTCTTATGATTTTAATAGCATTTTCTTTTCTCTAGCTTACTTTAGGAATACAGTATATGATACATGTAATATACAAAATATGTATTAATTGACTGTTTATATTATTGGTAAAGCTTCCAATCAAAGGTAGGCTATTAGTAGTTAAGGTTTTGGGGAGTCAAAAGTTATACTTGCATTCTTTGACTGTGTAGGCGGTTGATGCCCCTAACCCTCATGTTGTTCAAGGGCTAACTGTACAGACTTTTATTTTGCTGTCTTTTGCAATGATGGTCAAGTTTCATCTATTCTACAGTACTCTGTATATAATCTCTGTTGGATTCCATTTGCTTCCAGTAATTTGATTGATTGAATGATTGATACATTCAGCCTTCTTTAAAAGTGAAGTACCTTTAACACATATTCAGCCTCCAATCCCACCCTTCCCCAACTCCTCTTTTGTGCTTCTGCCAGTGTGACAGTCATGGTCTTAAAATGCAAATCTGGTCATGCCATTTACTCAGATAAAATATGTCCGTGGCTCTTGGTCACATAAAGAATATATTTCCAACTTCTTGGCAAGACAGTCAAGATTGTTTACCTTTATTTCCCATCTTCTACCATTCTCTCTCCCATCTTCCTCTCTGTTTTCCAGCCACGAAAGTTTCCTCTTTCTAGTGCCTCAAGTAGTTAGGGTATAATTATATCTTTATATGGGATTATAGCATACACACTTCCCTCCCCACCAGAATTTATTTTAAATTGTGGTTTTATTGCATTACCTCCAATCCTTAATTCACGAAGTATACCGAAATTGTTAAATTTTCCATTCTTCCTTTCTCTTTCTTATTTTTCTTTACCATAAAACAGACTGAATTGGTTGGAAAACATTCAGTCTTTCATATCTACAGATTCTGCAGCCTCAGATTTAACCGAGACTGAAAATATTTGGAGAAATAAAAGATAAAAACACAATACAAATGATAAATTTTGAAAATGACAGAATCTAAGCTATTTGCATAGCATTGACATTGTATTAGGTATTATAAACAACCTACAGATGATATAAGATAAGCAGGGGGATGTGCACAGGTCATATGCACATACAATGCCATATTCTATAAGGGACTTGATCATCCCAGATTTTGGTATCCATAGGCTCCTGGAACCAATCCCCCATGAATCTTGAGGGATTGATTGCATATCATTTAGTTAAGCTATGCTAAAGGTCCCACCCTCAAACCACCATGGATAACAGAGAAAGGGAAGGAAAGAGAAGGAACAGGGAAGGGGATTTCCTTTTTGAGCATTGACAGTTTTCAGCCACCTCATGTATCCTAACAAGTAGTAACATTTCCATTATATAAATGAGCAACAAGCACACAGTGGTTAAATGACTTGCCTCAAATTATCTTTCTGTTTGGAGAAGTCCACCAAGTGCATACTCTCTCATTGTTTCATCTCATTATCATTTCATAAACTCTTCTGTTCCTCCTCTCTTCCTGATTTTTGCTCACAGCCCTCTTACCTATTCCAGGAGCTCAGGAGTCCTCTGCTTTCTCCTCTCTCTCTCTCACCCCATGCTAATGAGGTCTCTGAATAAGGGAGCTTCCAGCTCATTCTACCTCTTTAATAACTTTACCCTCCTCCCCGTTTCTATTGCTACTACCAAAGTCTGGGCTCGAATAATGCTGGCTTGGGAATATTTCAAAAATCTCCTTTCTAATATTTCTCCTTCCAATTTTCTCCCACTTCAAGCTTGCCCACATGGCTGTTTTGTATCTGTGATATTTCTGAATGGCAAATCTGACAACCTCACACCCTTCATGCACTCTCTTTTGCCCTCAAGTAAGCATCCTTGCCAACTCTGTCAGGATTTTCATGATTTGTGCTTTTCTTCCTCTGCTGTGTTATCACCCTTTGCTCTCCCATAAGCCTCCTGCACAGCAGTCACACGGAATGACCTACAGATTCTTGAGCTGTCCCAGATCAGCCTGCCTCCATGCTTTGTTCACACTCATTGCTCTACTTAGAAGGTTTCTCTCTTACATGGTGAGCATCCCTCTTTCGAGATCTTACTGAAGTTTCTACTCCTCTCTTGCTTTTCCTTACACCATTTTTGAAAGTGTGGTCACAGCCTCCTTTCTACTATTCTACCTTGTACATATTTATATAATGCTACTCACCACACTGTGCTGCAGATTTTGAGTTTTTTATTTGACTAAGTTTGCTTGTCATTCCCCTGATTCGATGAATTTTGTTCTCAGTTTTACAAATGTTAACTTTACATATTTTGTTCTTGTTGAGTTCCTAAGGTTTATCTCTAAGCACACTTTTGATTATTAAATGAATATTTCATTACCCCTTAAAGTGAAAGGTTAGTGTTAACCGTATTTTCATAACTAAAACAAAATGGATGAAAGGTATGCATGTCATTGGGGACACCAATTGCTTTGTTCATTGTAAAAGTAGGTGGACATGCTGTAGCTGATAACCAAAGGATGGCTTAAATAGACTTGCAAACATACTCAGGAAACATTCAGCCTTGCACTTTTTCTTTTGCAATTACTATTAGCTTTCTCTGCCCTTAAATGTTGTCACAGAGGTTTGAGAGACCAATTAATTCGCCTTCCTCCTATGTGTTCTGAACATGATAGAAATTTAAATATCAGCAGATTCAAACAAAGTAATCTGTTTTATTTTGAGTAAGGTGAATGCGAGAATGCAACTTGGACTTCATGACAACATCAGGGTCTTCCTACTTTACTTCTGCCTTGCATTTGGCTGAGTTGCCCAGGCTTAGGAAACTGCAGGCAACAGGAGATGAGTTGGAGGCGGTAGGCTCAGTGCATGGGAACAAAGCCTTGGGAAGCCTAGAGAGAACGTGAGGTGGCCAAATATGGGCAATGATCCTTCCCCACATGGTCACAAAATGAAGGGAAACAGATGGTAGGCTCTACAGATCTCACAGGTTCAAGGAAGGAGGGTCTAGGGAGGAGCAGGAGAACGCTCTCTTTCATAGTACTGAAACGGTTTTTTTTTTTTTTTTTTTTCCTATTTTTTTTTTTCCTATTAAATGCACTAGAGCAGGAGTGCCAGAAGAGGAGAGTTGCTGATCATCCCAGCCAAGGTCACAGGACAGATACATTTCTTAAACCCAGAGACTAGGGACCTCAGAGATCCTAGTCCAGAAAGTTCCCTTTTTCATGGATTGGATCTTGCAACCCGTAAGTAAAATATAATATGACTTTGTTTGCTTTCTTTGACCTAACTCTTACGGTTTTATTATGATGATGGGTAGATCAATAACTGCTCCTGACATCAAGTACATGTTAATAACATCAAAGCTTAATGATAAAGGAATTGGCAGCTTGACACGCATGTGTGAGCGCTCTGATGGGAAGCAGGAGCCCCTATGAATGGCTTTGGTTTGCAAAGGACTTTTTTCCTGAAATGCATGCAGTGCTCTGGACCATGCCATCTCAACCCAGGTCAATCTGTAATTGCATATCCTGATGACAGTAAAGAGCAATGGCCTGGATGCTTCCACAGCTTATGCTGTGAGACCAGAGTGACTTGTGCTGCACCACACTTAATACTGCATGCTTGGACTCTTCTGACATCCCTCCCAGTGCTGGGAGTTTATAATCCTGATAATGCCTCCAGTGGAAATGACCTAAGAAACATCCTTTGCTGGGCTCTGACCCATAATTTATTAATTCACAGTTGGATTTATTTAGTTCTGGCTTAATTTATTTCAGAACTATGAGTCTGCAATTCTTTTCATTGCTAAATGTCCTCCTTCAAAGTTGTCATGTGTTTAATTTAACTCGTTCTATAAAGTATATTATGGTAAGAAAGAAAAAAGAAAAGAGAAAGTCATGGTCAAGAGGCAACAATGTAAAAGGAATAGATATTTTCATATAGTGGATCTGATTTTCTCAGTGAGTCGAGATGGTCTTCTTAGAAGTAACATTCTCCACTGATGTTCAGAGCCTATGGTGACCTAGCAATGGTGGAGGGTTTCCAAAAGCAGTGTTTTTCAAACCAATGTATACACACATCACCCAATTTAGCAGGTCTGGGGTGGAGCTGAAAAGCTGGCATCTCCAACAAGCTCCCAGGTGATGCTGATGACTGATTACCAAGAACCTAAGTTACTAAATCAAAACACCAGCTCCCCAAATCATCACAATCCATTTTATTCCACAGCATGTTTAAGGGAATGTTATTTTCAGGAAGATGTTTGGGATTAAAATAATTAAAAAAAAATTGGAAATACACACATTTATGTATCTCTTCTTTTCATTAAATATATATCTGCTTGGCAAAAAATGTTAGACTCTTTTGTACAAAAACAAAGCAAAAAAAAAAAAAAAGAACCCAAAATTCTTGCAAATTGTAAATACCAATAATAATTACAATGATGTAAACTTGGATGTCTGATAGCTTGACCATCCTGTGGAACTCATTTTGCAGCAGGACCTCCCAGGAGAAGGTAACACCAAATCCTTGGATAGCAACAGCCCGTCCTAGAGGCATTTAGGTTTAGTCTATTAGAGATGGAGCGAGACTACTGATTTCACCATTTGTGCTTTCAGCTAAGAGGCTGGGAGCATGAGTGGAAATGAAGAAGGCAGTTCTGGCCTGGGGTAGGGAGAGGAAACCCCAGACTAGCTGGTGAGGAGGGAAGATCTGTTATGGTCACAGTGCAGACGCAAAGTGGGCATGGGACCTGTGAACTGTTTGGGAAACTGATGCTAGGGAGGATCATGAGGAGGCTGCAGCTGAGGCTCTTCGGACCAAAGAGGAACAGAGCAAGGCAAAAGCAGGGAGGGAGGTGGGAGGAGATTTGAGTGCAGATCTCAATTCAAGTGGGACTAGTGGTGCGAGATGATTCTAGAGACGGAAAAGGGGGATGTGGGGTTTGGTCTTCTCGTCAAGTAGCTAGGCCATTTCCTCCAGACGGGGGCCTTGGGGCACTCCCCTTGGTCTGGTGGGCAAGTTTTGGGGCAGTCTGGGGCTGCTGGCTTTACTGTCCTGAGGAAGGAAGGGCATGCCTGCAGGGGGCTAGGATGGAAGGGCCCTTTGGCCTTCTTACCAGCAGTGGGCTTTGCTCTTGTCCCACCAGTGGACTGTAGCCATGGGAAGTGACCTGAAGCAGTAGAGCCGAGGAACAGAATCAGGGCGGTGAGCAAGATGCCAGCTAGGGGCTGAAAGTTGCCGGGGCTAGAGGTGAGGCTCAAGGGAGTGTGGACCCACAGCTTCCCTTTACCAATGGAGGGTTCCAAGGCGTGGGCGTGTTTTCATTCCTCTCTCCTGTTAGCTAGGTGTTCCAGTTTTGGAAGGGGCACGTGTGGGCCCGGCCACTTCAGTTACAGTCATAGACGAAGTCATAGTTGCTGGGCTCCTTGGGAATCGGCGGAGGCGCATCAGGGATCTGGATGTTTTCCAGGTCCAGAAGGCGGAGCTTGATTTCCATGCTGAGCAGGGTGTCCAGGTCATTCCGTGTCAGGTCGCTCATCATGTCCTTCCCGAGTAGCGCATTCAGTCCATCTGTCCAGATACAGTACTGGCAGGAAGGGAGGCAACAGCCATCATTACTGGTGACAATTACAGAAGTACTAATAGTAAAAACAGCTAACAGTGAATACTCATCACACAGTGGGCTCTGTGCTAAGTGCTTTGCCTACTTTGTCATTTCATATTCACAACATCACAGTGTAAAGTCGATATTTCTGATATCATCTCTGTTTTACAGGTGAAGGAACTGAAGTACAGAGAAGTTAAGTGACTCAGTCTTATGGAGACTGGGTGGGATGTGAATCCAAGCAATCTGACTCCAGTGCCTGTGCTCTTCTCTGCGAAGAATGCCGCTCTGTAACGGCTGAGGATTGGAGTTCTCCATGACTTGCAATGTAACATCTCTAACATCCCACCTATATGGGAGTCTATGACTTTGAGGTATTGGTGGAATCTACCCAACAGCCCTGGACTCAACATCAGGTGAAGCTTCTTTGCTGAATCCAGTCATGGTTCCAAGTCTAGTAGCTCATCTCTGCCTGTCCTGACTGATTCCCAGCATGCACAGTGACAGCCCTGTTCCACGCTGGGGCCAATGTAGTCCCTCCTTAGTATTTCTCAGCTAAAGAGCTAGGAAATAGCTTTCTGCTGCCTAGCGTCGGGCAGCCAAAATGGTTAAAATTATTGGGCAATCTTAATGGAAGGAGGGTTGGCTGCCTGTCTGGGGACCCTTTTAGCCTTATCTCCAGTTCCTAAGGTTTCTTTTCACCAGATCACTGAGGCCTGATCCCTGGGGACATTATCTGTTTTGGAAAGCCCTTCAGAGTACCCCACTGAGTCTGATTCTTCTCCTCTCATAGCCTTTTGTCTTCCCAGGAGACTATGATCTCTATGGGGGAGGGAGGAGAAGGAGGAACTGTGGCTTGTTTGTCTGAGGATCTGCTTTGCTCTTGTTAGCTTCCTTCCCAGAGGCTGGATTTCTGTACTGACGTGGAAAGAGAACCGTGACACCTGGTGAAAGAGGCAGTCCAGCTGCCAGCATCTCAGAAAAATGCTTACGTTCTGGATGCTGGGCTCCATGCATCCACTGGAGTCAGGTTTCTAATAGTCCTATATGGGATTCTGTAACAGCAATTGTCCTCCTCTTTTGTTGAACTGGTCTTCCTTCTACCATGTACTCTAGATTCCCTCCTCTTTTTCCTCACTAGGTCCAGTGGCAATTCCAGACACTCCTTAACCTACTTTTGCACTGTAGTTTTCTGGGCTGTATTCCATAGCAGCAGATCTCAAGATAAACGTACCCAAAGTATACTGCAAGCACTATATAAATATCCAGTTACCATGATGTGATGAAAATCTTCCATGATACACATCAGTGGTACCACTTTTTAAGTCGAAGAGGTGCATGATGGGTTCATGTGAGATCTGTGTTTGAGTAGGGCAGCACTGAATTGGAGGACTTTGGTCCTACCTTGACTATGTGATCTCAGCCAAAGCATTTAACTCATTGAAACATCAATTTAGTGCTAAAGGATTTCTGGAAGAATTAGTGTCCTCATGATCTGATTCAGAACATGTCTAATCATCCATTTTCTCGTAAATAACGCTGACAGAAGTGGACACCTAGCTCTGGCCTTGGAGATCCTGATCATGTAGATCTGGGGTGAGAAGACTTTGCTTCCTAGAAAACTCTGATGAGCATGCAGGTATGCGTGCCACTGAACTCTCCATTCTCAAGGGCCCCTTCCAGCTTTCACGCTGTTTCATGGTAAATCCCCCAGTCCTGGGGATTACTGCTCTTGTGCACAGCCTTCCCAGGCCTGGCTAGCTTCCTAGTACAGATTAACCCACAGGAACATTTTTGCAGTGTTTTTCTTTTGAGAAACAACAGGCACAGAAAACTTTATTTGAAAGTACATCAACCAATAAATAAAAGTACTGATACTATAGTACTGATACTGAATTGGAGTTGAAACTATCAGTATCAATACACTATGTATTTTATCTTAAAAAAAACACAAAAAAACAAAAAACTCCTAGCTGTGTCCCCAAAAAGGCCTAAAAAATAATGACCAACCAAGTTCTGTTGCAGCATGGTGTGCAATGACCATAAGCACACCTTATGCTAGATTCTGGTCACTAGATACTATTTCCCACTACAAGTAATCAGGGCTCCACAGAGAAAAGGCAGGAAACATAAAGATAAACCTGGAGCATCCCACCATACCAGAATGCCAGAAAGTTATCGAAGACATAAGGGGTCCTTCCAATAGGACTCAGATGCCAACCCTATGGTGTTCCCACTTGTTCCAGACAGGATAACCTAGACACTAATTATGACAATAACTGCAACATATTGAGACGCAATTATGTTTAATTGCATGACTTCCTAATGATATTCAATCTCCCAAACACCTCAGTGTTATTCTTTGAAAGATGCTTACTATTTTGAAAACTGGTAAAGAGAATCCAGTATTTATCCTGCCTACCATATGCAAATTGTGTAACTTTAGGGTAACCAAATAGTTGATGAGGCCAGCTTCTTTTTATATATCCCTTTAATAAATAAAGAAGGAATATTAGAATTAAGATATCAACCATTTGTAACCTTGAATGGATCCAAGGATCCAGGCAATGATCATCAGTGGCTGCTAATATCCAAGAAAGATGAGCAAGAAGTCACTATGAAAGTACAAACACACTGCTGCTGCTTAGAAAGGGAGGCTGAATTTGATTAATCCTTTAACTACAGTTTATAGGACATACAGGGAACGGATGAACATATGAAATTATATTGTAGGTTGTGGGGGGCAAAATAATACCCACCTTCCAAAGATATTCACATCTTACTCTCTGGATCCTGTAAATACGTCAGGTTCCATGGAAGAGGGACTTAAGATTGCTATCAGCTGACCTTCAAATAGAGAGGTTATCTTGGATTATCCAGGCAGGCCCAATGTAAAAGTGAGAGAAGGAAGCAGAAGAAGAGTCAGAGTCAGAGAAGTGAGAGATAGAGGGAGATCCGACTACGAAAGAGGAGGCCGGAGTGATGCGATGAAAAGGCTCAACCAGCCACTGCTATGGATAGATGGAGGCCAAGGAGAGCAGGTGGACTCTTGAGTGAAAAAGTCAAGAGAAAATTCTTCCCTAGCACCTCCAGAAAGGAACATAGACAGCCCTACTGACACCTTGATTTTAGCCCAGGATATTTGCATTTGACTTTTGAAGTCCAGAATTGGAAGAAAATAAATGTGTACTATTTAAAACTAAGTTCGTGACAGTTTGTTACAGTAGCAACAGTAAGTTAATACATAGAGTTATAATCAGCACCATCTAGACTATCAACAATACTATAGGTCTGATGGCCTGTTTTTCCCAATAAATAAACTTCAAGGAAAAAATTATACAATTTACAATCACATGCTCATGATTTTGTGAGACAGAGAGACAAAGAGAGACACCTATAGATTCAGAGAAACCTAAAAAGCATGTCAACCAACTGCAATGCATGGATCTTATTTGCATTCTGACTTGAACAAAGTCTAAAAGAAAACAACACACAAATGAGACAGAGAAATTTGAAAACTGACTGCACATGGTTTAATAAATAAATACAACATTATTAATTTATTTAAGTGTGATCAGGATATTGCGGTTATGTTTTTCTAAATTGAGTATTATTGGGAGATGCATACAGGAATATTTATAAATAAAATGATACCCAGATTTGCTTCATAATAATCAAGGGTGGCAGCTGGGTGATGGTGGAAGAGTGAATGGGAACACAGGTGAACGAGATTGGCCGTGAGTTGGTGATTGCAGAAGCTGAGCGATGGGCCTGCCAGGAATGTGTGAGCTCAGTGCCTTCTTGTTCCCTACCTAGCTCTACAGTGCAGGGGTTAAGTGAGGGGCTTCTGGAGCAGGACTACCAGTGTTTAAATCCCAGCTCCATCTCTTACTACGTGTGTGACTTTGGACAGGTTTCTCAGCCTCTCCTGCCTCATTTCCCTCTTTTATTAAATAGGGATAATATGAGTTTGTTTTTTTAGAGCTATCTGAGGGTTAAGTGGGGTGAAATATACATATAAAGCATTAATGGTGCCTGGCAGAGAGTAAGCCATGTTCGTTATACTTACAGTTGACTCTTTAACAACATGGGTTTTAACTGTGTGGGTCACTTATACATGGAATTGTTTTCAATAAAACTTATACCGAGTGTGCCTGTCTCTCCTGCTTGCCCTTTCACCTCTTCCACCTCTCTAGCCTCTGCCATGCCTGACACCTCAAGACCAACCACTCCTCTTCCTTATCCTCCTCATCCTACTCAGTGTGAAGGCAATGAGGATGAAGACCTTTATGATGATGCTCCTCCACTTAATGAATAGTAAACATATTTTCTCTTCCTTAAGATTTTCTTAACATTTATTTTCCCTATCTTACTTTATTGTAAGAATACAGTATATAATACACATAAAAAGTAAAGTGTGTGTGAATCAACTGCTTATGCTGTTGGTAAGGCTTCTTTCTGGTCAACAGTAGGTTATTGACAGTTAAGTTTTTGGGGAGTCAAAAGTTATAGGCAGATTTTCAACTGTGGGGGTTCAGTCCCCATAACCCCCAGGCTGTTTAAGGGCCAACTGTATTAACCTTTCTATTGTTGATGTATTCAATTCTGAGAGGTCGCTCCCTGCTCATTTGATAAATGACAATGTCTGTAATAGAACTTTTTATTGTATAGGAGTAATTATGGAAATAAAATGAGGTAATAGAGAGGAAAGTGGTCTGAAGTAATTAAAAGTGTTCACAAGCATATGGCATTTTTCTCTTCATTGTATCTACAAGGAGTGGTAGATATGAATAAAAATCTGGCAGTCCCAGAGCATTTATCCTGATCTGGAATTAATGTACACTGGGGAAAACAGCCTCCCATAGATTTAAATAACATCCAAAGTTCTACTATTTTAAGTAGTTTCCTATACAGCTCTATACATCTTGAATATGGTGGCCTGTGTAGAACCACAATTTTATTTAAAAACAGAAACAGTAGGACACAGTATCTATTTTCAGAAAGATGAAGACAAAGTCTTACCCTTCAGCAAACTAAATGTCAAGTGACACAGAATTATATTTAAGCACCATTCTAAATGCAGGATTTGTGTCTAATCTTTCCTCTCTCTTTGGGATATACAATTTTATTCAGAAGCTTCAAACCAGTGAAAACCAGATACTGAATAACTTCTAAATGAGCTAAATGTCCTAGGGGAAATGGGGAACTAAAGTCAGATTCTATTAAAATGTTCTCTTCCTTTCTAAAAGCTGTTTATGCAACCACACGCAAAACAAAAATTTGAATGGTATCATCTAAAAATAAAAGTTTCAAGCATGATGTTGGGTTCCAGTTTATAAAAGAAAGTTAAATCAGCCATAACTGCTACTTTATCTTACAAATGCATTTTCCTAGATTTATGCTAAATATTTTAAATATAGCTGACAGCGTGCTGCAAGAAGAGAAACAAATTATACATATAACAAGATGTCAGAAAGGAATAAAAGCATCTTGAAAATAAAATCCCAACAGCAGAGACAGCCCTAAACCTCTTAAAATAGCTTAAAGAAATTTGGTAGAAAACCTACTTCCTCAGATGTTTTAAAGAAGAGAGACCAGTTTATCTTGGGAAAATCCAGACCAAAAACAAAAAATTCAATGAAAACCAAAGCTGTAACCAGGGCGCTTCTTTCTCTGGATTAACAACTGTGCCTTTGCTGCATTTTAGGCCTTTGTACATCCTTTTTCTTTACCATAAACTATCAATCAGGCTACTAAGAAGCTGAATCTGTTGTAACAGGCAGTATTTCAAGAGGTTTCTATTCTACTCCAAGTCAGCAAGATGCCCCTTGGTTCATCATTTTTTCAGGCAGGTCTATTTTTCTTAAGTGAAATTTATTTCTTTCTAATATTTTTCTTGAGGAAAGGTTACATTTTCTCATAAATTATCCCCCCAGAGATCCTTACCTCATGCTTGTCAGGAGCAATGAAGTTCAGCTGGCAGTTCGAGTCATACAAGATGGAGAAAGCGAGTTCAAGCACCTCCTACAAGAGATGAGAGAAAATAGCACATTAAGGAAAATCAGCACCTTTCATTTCGCAGTTGCAAATGGCTGTACATTGACCATGCAATAGGGCCAGCTTGTCTGGGCAGGTGTAGCTGTAATGAAGCTGATGGAAGGAGGAACCATGCTGTTCAAGATTCCTTCTCTATTCAGGGTGGTCTGTGAACTATCTCATTTAATTTGCATGTAGCAAATGTTTTCATCCTTTTTATGGGGCAGGGCTTAGAGAGGTTCAATGAGTGTCCAAGGTGATGGCCCCCTCCAAAACTGTGTTATTCTCCTACCTTCAGCATTTCCCTTCCAGAGAGGCCACAAAAAACAATAAACTCCCAATCAACAGCATTAATAGCTGCCCTTCCTTCTATCGTCCTAAGACAGACAGGAACCAAAGAGGTACGATCAAAGAGAGGCCATGGAGGTATGATTTCCCTAAAATGTGGATGCTATACCAGCTGTAAGGAGGCTTCTAGATGAATCCATAATCTTTACATCTGTCCTTTGACCTTTGAGCTACTGTACACCAAAGGCTACAGAAAGCCTAGGTTTTATCCAGAAGAGGCTGTAAGGTATAAATGAGACGCATAGGCCCACTCATTGGTGATAACCTGCGGAATGCATGCAACAAGCCAGGCCCTAAGGTCCAGTGACCAAGTGACATTTTCATTTAATTGCAGGTGAATGACCAATGGCCAAGGCACTCAGTGTCATGTCTAATATGCACATTAAACTGCACTTCTCAAACTGTACATGCTGTACCAGTACTGGGTAGGACGATCATTCCAGTGGTCTGAGCGGTCAGTAGAAGATGAGAGTCATCAGCTCATCTCAGCATCCTGAGGACTCCTAGTCTGGAGGGGAAGGGCCAAGTGTATCCAAACCAATGCTCTGTACTCTTCCAGTATGGAGGTTCTAGTGTACCTTCCTTCTCTGTGCTTCTATTAGGCACCAGTGATGACCAGCTCTCTCCCCTGCTGTGATCTGCAAGCCACACTGCTCAGTAATTGCCCACAAAACATTATTTCTTAGGGAGCCAGATCTCTTTACATTATTCTCTACCTTAATATCTGTTAGAGGATTTGTCTTTGGCCTGTGACACACAGCAAAAATGCCCCAGAAAGAAGATAAAAGGCAAAAAGATGAGGTCAATGCCTACAGATTTCAGAATTTCAGATGGATTAAAGAATTATTCCAAAGTGGCTGCATGCCCCTCCCAACACGATCCATCACCCAGCTATTTCTGGCTTTTGTGGAGTTCTCTGTGTCTTATTCACCTCCAGCTGTCCCTCACTGAGAGGGGGCAGGTCTTGTTCTGAGGATAGACCTACCAGCATCTCACACTCAAAAGGTCTCCTCACCTTGACAGAAATAGAAACAAGCAAAGGAAAAAATGCTGAGTCATGGAATAGGAGCTATTCTGCAAAAATACTCTCCTCATTTTTCTATTCTTCTTCTTCTTTAGGCCCTGACTCAGGCCTACCCAGTAAAGACAATAATGTAAAAAGGAAGTTTGCCAAAACAAGCAAACAAACAAAAACAAATTGTCATGAAGTATAGCATCTGTTTCCGTAACCATCTCTCTTGGGCCTTTTAATTTATAATTAAAACAGTCACAGCCTTACTATTAGCACTATAAATTCATATCATCCTTTTTTAAAAAAAAATCAATATGAAAATACATATCAAGAACCAGAGATGCTATGCCTGAGATAATTCCAAAAGAAAAAGTAAAAACAAAGCAAAAGCTAAATATTATTTTCTGAAAGAGCATTACGAGAAACTAACCTCTCCCTCTTTTGGGTAACAAAGAAATCATAAATTAGCCACCAAGAGAAATATATTTGGCCAATCCTTCAGTGAGATAATGATGGATATCTGAAGTTAAGTGGAGAAAAACAGGAGACATGAACACCGTGAATATACCAATCACAATTAAACAATGCCTACCTGTGGACAGAGACTGGAAGGAAATATGTGAAATGAAAATAATTGTGGTAAAGTGTTAGGTCATAGGTCATTATTCCTTCTTAAAACTTTTTTCCAACAAAATGCTATGCAATAATTTCAGAAATTTGTAAAAGCTATTCTCAGATTAGGCACATTCATCAAAACGACGATTTATTCACTAATCTTTTAGAGTCATTTATTAGGAAAACTCTCTGACTCATACTTGAGTGACTGGAGAGAAAGGAGGGAGCAAGCTTTGCTTCTGAACAACCAGTCAAGATATTACAGTGGCGTGAGGGGCCTCAGAGGTAAACAGGAAAAGGCAAAGTTCATCCAGGCCACTTTGGGCTGACTCTGGGTGGCAAGTGCCCGACTGCTCAGGGAAATCACATGGCTGATCATTCCTTGCTGACAAGAGCCGGTGTGAACAGCACTGCAGCCCAGATGTGCTCCCGACAGGGTGCTGAAGTCACTTGAGACCAGAGTGTCAACATGGTTATTGCTGTGATACTTTCTCCTCTACAGGGGGATGGAGAAGGAAGGAAAAGGAGGGAGCATGCAAACTTTGGGCTTTGCCCTTCTATGGCATATACCACTCACGACGTGAATGATTGGAACTGTCATGACCTAGATTTCTGATAAACACAGGCAGGAAATGGGAAATTCGTGATAATGTCAATTCCCACTTTAATTTCACAAAAGCTTCCTGGGAGGGGGTGGGAGGAATTAATTCTCTGAGCTGCATGTCTGTGTTAAAGGGTGCTATCGCTTATAATGGGTTTATTGATGTCTCTGGCTTGCTGTTGTTGAGTCACTGGTGAAGGTCAGCTCTTCAGTACTTGGAGCAGGGAGGCTGCGGAGCCGGGAGCAATGGCACCTTTCGGGCTAACACTCCAGAAGCTGCCACCTGTCCACACTGTCCATGAGGGATAAGGCACCAGGTGGTGGTGGAGTAGACCATCACTGATCCGTGTCCCCCTCAGGGCCTTCTTACCTCCACACACCACAACACTCACTTAGACATCGGAAGCTCCGGGGCTTTGTTGCTCATGACCAAAGCTCTTTTATTCCTCTGGATTTAATGCAGTGAAAAATGACATCCAGAAGCAGCTTCTCTCTGTACTCTGCTGTGCTGATGCCTGCTTGTCCCCTTGTCATGTGGAGGAAGCCTGATTTCTAGGGAGAGTGGAGGCAGAGGACACCAAACACCCTTCCATGCCCTGAGGCTCCTGACCCTGTACTCAACACTCTGGCCCTGGGACAGAAGACAAGGCATGCAGAGTCCGTGGATGCCCAGAAAAATGGCTTCTGGGGTTTGGGGACTGCCATCTTCCATGGGTCAAATGAGGAACTGACTGATCACAAGAGTTGAGTTTTATGCAATATGTATTCAGTGTACAGGGTTGGCTGCCAATCCTTACGTTGTTTGAGGGTAACTCACCACATTTGGCCATTTTGCTAGCATTCACTTAACTATATTGGTTCTCTATCCAGGTCATTACAAGAGCAAAGCATTTTGATAAAAGACACAGGATATAGCTTGGCATGTGTGTGGGTGTCAAATATGGTCATAGACATAGCAGTAGATTTGAGAACTATAGCGTATTGCTGCTCAGATATCTACAAATTTGGATTTCTATTTTAGAAGGCAAAAACCACTCATTCTTGTAGTATATAACAGAGGAGATTACCATCTTTAGGCAGCTATAACTCTCTGGCCCCAATCTATCTTAGCAGCATAACTGGCCAACAGTTCTCCAATCCATACTCTTCTCCCCATTCCCATCAGTCCTATAGTCTAAATTCAATGTTTCCCAATCAGAGGATGCTTTTCACATGAGCAAAGGCCCCTGCCCCTTTTCAGATCGTTTCCTCCTCTTGGAAAGTCTTCTCCTCACTTCTCTGCCAGGCCAATTCCTTTACAAAAGCTAGATCAGATGCCATTTCCTGCATCAGCCTTTCTCAGTTCTCCCAGGCTCCCTCTGTGTTTAATTTTTTTGAGCAGAGACATATATAAATCTTATCTACTGGATACCTAGGGCCAGGGGCCCAGTCATATTTATCTTTGGATTCCTGGCACCTAGCACAAAGGAGATGCGCAATACATTGCTGAATAAATGAATGAATGAATGAATGATGAATGAAGTAAATGTGAATAAAGGGCTTTTTGGCTAAGACCAGCATTTTCAAACTGATGCTAGGATATCAGCTTCAGTAGAATATGCTTCTTATTTCAGGTTTAAGCATCACACTGGAAAAACAAATGCTTAATTCTGGCAAATAGGAAGATAGAATCTTCTTTTAAACCAAATATACACCCATCTGAATCACTGGATCTAGTAAGATCTTCACTCTGGTGATTTCATGTTGACTATTGAACTAAAAGCCCCAAATCCAGTGGGACAAGTACCGAGAATGCCCACCTTAAAGCACACAGCCACAATCAGCTTATTTTTATACATTATAGAGTTTGAATTTAGAATCCTCAATCCTTGTAAATCAAAGCCTTCTAACTGAGTTTCCATCTACTCATGACAATTCTTTTCAAGTCTCAATCAGACATTTTCTGGTACCTCTGTGAAGAACCCAGCATTTCTTGTCTCCATAAAAATGTGCCTGCTGCACTGACCTCTGTTAAACATAGTAGACTCTAAGCTCCAGAAAGGCCCCCTGCTACCCCATTTGCATCCTATGCTCAGAGCTCATCCTATTACAGGCACTCCCATGCTGACTGAGTAGATGACTGACTACGTGAACAAATGCCTCTGCAGTAGACACCTCAAGGAAAAAGACCAATTTTCTTCTTTAGGTTCCCAGGGCCCTGCTGGGAACATCAGCAGAGATTGAGTGGGTGAGAGAATGATCAGTTATTAACACTCTGCCATTAACAAAGTATCTCCTTTATGGATGCCAATGGCTCAGTTTGCCTTTCTTGATGATTAAGTTAACCATGGGTCTCCTAGCACAAAATGTCAAAACTGTTCCACAGGTGGAAAAACTGTCCAAAGAGCCAGCAATTTGCCTTGGTTGTTGCCCACCCACTGTGCACTGACAGACCTCTTATGAACACATTTTAGTCGATTCTCCTTTTAGGCAGTAGGTCCCCCCTTTCCTACCCAGAAGTCCCAGAGGTAGAGAGGAGGGCACCTCTGGAGTACTGGGAAAAGGGGTGTGGCTTGGGGGGTTGAGCAGGTGAAACTGTGGCTTTCCTTCTCCCTTTTGATGTTTTGCGTGATGACATGGTATATATGAACACTATTAACATTGCAAGACAAGTAAATTCCATGTATATGCTAATTAAAGGGCCAGGCTGCTTGAATTCTGCTACTCTCATCCCTCATGGCAGACTGGAAGAGCCCAAAGTAGCTAGAATATATGGGCCAGTGAGTCCCAGGAAGCAGGCTTTATTTGCAGTCTTATTTATATCTGTTTACAGCAATGTACCCTATCTATCCATCATCCTCCAGCTGTCCATCCATCATCCATCTATCCATCATCATCCATCCTATGTTTATGAGCATCATAACAATATGTGAAAAATAAAGGAAGGCCAAATATACTACCTTATATGTTCAAATGAAATCAACTCCACACCTGATACATTGGTGACTCTCATTTTTTTCTTGGTTAGCCAGGCTGGAAGTTTATCAATTTTATTCATCTTTTCAAAGTACCAGCTTTTGGTTCTGTTGATTTTCTACTGTTTTCAGTATTATTGTTTTCTACTCTAAATTTTGTTATTTCTTTTCTTCTACTTGCTTGAAGCTTACATTGCCCTCCTTTCTTAGTGTCCTAAGGTGGAAACTTCATTGATTTTAGTTCTTTCTTCTTTTCTAATGTAGTCATTCAATGCTACAAATTTCCCTCTAAGCACTGCCTTCACTGCATCCCACACATTTTGGTAAGCTGGATTTTCATTTTATTTAGTTTGAAACATTTTGCAATTTCTCTTGAGAATTCTTCCTGGAACTGTGGGTTATTTAGAAGTGTGTTGTTAAACTTCCAAATATTTGGGGAATTTTCCAGCTATCTTTCTGCTATTGATTTCTAGTTTAATTCCACTGTGATCTGAGAATATACTTTGCATAACTGCTATTCTTTAAATTTTTTAAGACATGTTTTACAGTCCAAAATGTAGTCTATCTTGGTGAATGTCTCCTTTGAACTTATGAAGGATGTGTATTCTGCTGCTGAGTGGATTATTCTATTAGTGTCAATGAGATTAAGGTGATTTATGGTACTGTTCAGGTCATCAATATTCTTCTCGATTTTCTGCCTGCTTGATCTATTGATTACTGACCAAGGGATGTTGAAGTCTCCAATATATGAATAATAATGAACTTGTCTATTTCTCCTTTCTGTTCTATCAGTTTCATAACTCATGTATTTTGATATCTTCATGTTAAGTTTAGACATGTTAAGGATGATTATTTACATATTTTGATATCTTTATGTAAAGTTTATACATGTTAAGGATTATTATGTCTTCTTGGATATCTGACTTTCCACATTCCATGGTGATGGTTTGCTTGCAACCTCAGTTGTAGGATAGGTCCAGGAAAAGTTGTTGATATCCACTTTGCTTCACTTCTTCTTATTCTAAGGATGGGAGTACAACTCTCAAGCTCTTTACATATGGGAGCTGAAACAGGAAGTCTCTCCATACCTATTTAACATAATTCCCCCTGTCTTTATTTAGCACACTTGAATTCTGGCAGTTGCTATTTTTCCAGGTACACCCTTTCTGGTCTTCTCTGGGTTGCAGACCCCTGTTACTGCCAATTTCTCCACACTGTTTCCAGCTCAGCCCCAAGTGTTATGTAACTGTGGGGATCTCTTTAGCTGGAGCTGAGCAGAACCAGTGCTCTCCGAGATTGTGGAGAGCATACCTGACATGTGTAGCATATGGTAATCCCGGCTGGTGTTGAAGAAAGTCTGCTCCACAAGAGGCAAACCATGAAAACTGGAGATTTGCTGCTATAGCTAAGAATGTTTCTCTGATGTGCTGAGCTGTAGAATCTCTGTCTCCCCACAGCATGGAGAAGAGATAAATGGGAACCCCCGTTGGTGCTGTGTAACAGATAGCCCACAGACCCTGGCCTCTTGGCCATGCCCTGCCATCAGTATGCTTGCCAATCAAATGCGTCACATGACAGTGCTGTGATGGGCTCAACAAAGTGGGCATTACCATGGACTTGAGGTGAGTTATAGAACTTACGAAGGAAAGGTTTTGCAATCAGCCTCTTTAGCTGCATCCCCTGTCCTCTGCCTTCCTGAACAGGATGTTCATAGTACTTTTATTTTTCCTTAACCATAGATAGAACCATCCTCCAAAGAACTGGATTCCCTTTTGTCTTATAAGATTAGAAATTACAGAGTGGAAACTATTTATTTTAACCCTGATTGGTAATTAGGTTGTGTATCATTTTGGTGTCCCTCTTAGATACTAACACTGGAAATAAAGATGCAACCTATTGATCTATGTGATATTTCTTTGTACAGGATTATCTGGGTGCCCCAAATACTGTGGATACTTTTGTTCAGGAATGGTATAGATCACAAGATTTCAAGAGGCATGAACAAAGAACTGGCTCCCTGATGGCCTCTCCAAGGACAAATACTTATAGCGGGCAAAAGAAACTCATTTATCTTTTCAAATAATGCCCCCTCGGGTGCCCTCTGTAATGAAATGATAATGGAATGGTTGGTAAACCAGGAGGAGCTGGTGAAAGGAGTATTGCAGTATGAAGTGGGCTTAAGTAATACACACCTCTGGGGAAATTTTGTCCTTTAATCTGAGTTGGAGATATTTCATGGCCTACTCTCCACGATGCTGAAGGGCATCAGGGCTTTAAAGTTTTCTAAGATTCTTTGAGTCAGCTTCTCTCTGCCTGTCCCAGGCTTCATGAAGATCCCAGAGAGGATATTAAGGGCATGATTACAGCAGGAGAAAATGAAAGATATTGGGGTGGAAATTGGCGAACGGAGGAATAAACATAAATGGTGGAGGTTAGGAGACGCCCAGGGAATGGATGGATGAACAGAAGAGGCTTAAGAGAGGACAAGGTGGCAATAGTGAGGACAATTCTTAGGGTTGGAAGCAGATAGGAAGTGAGAGACTGGAAGAGATGGTGGGCATCAGTAAAGGGGTCAGAAAGAGAAAGAATAAGGATAAGAGATTGAAAGTAATTGGGACAGGAAACAGGAGAGCTGAATAAGAGATGTGTGACTGAACACACACACACACGCACACACATACACACACACACACACCCCACTGCTATAAAGGAGGGCTGGGCTGGCTGCAGTTGCTGACTGCATCAGGCAAATAGAGCTATTTGCAATAATTTGGAAATCATACCTTGTTTTGTTTAAGGGCACCTTTCTCTTTCATATGAGGGCAGTCCTTTCCCGTCACCACGGCTTTGATATCTGCCACCGGCACTGCAATTCATAAAAGAAAATGCAAGTAACTACACCATGTGAAAGCTTCGACGTCAATAAAGAAGCAAGGCTAAGCCCTGGGTCTGCTACTGTGGTTGCCATTCCCAGAAAAAGAGAAGAGTATTGAAAAGAGGAAGAGAAGCCAGGTAGTGTCCCAGGACTAGAAACTAAAATATATCTTATATTTGGGTAAAAAGCATCCCTGGGGAGAAAGAGCTTGCTTGTAAGCAGAATTTGGTTCATTGAAACAAAGACCTAAAAAAAGTACGCATCACAGTACCATTTGAAGTGATGGCATTAGAAACAGCAGTAGAAATAACAGTGACTGTTGTTAACGACAGTGATACTAACACGGATATTAACGAGGGCTTCTGTGTGACAAGAGCAATGCCAAGTGCTTTACATACATCAGTGTCTCTTGCTACAACATTTGCATCTATTTAGTTTCTCAGTTTTTGGATAATGAGAGAAAGCAGCCTTATCTCAAAAAATTTATCCAATATAAACAGTTCTGAACTCTCCCTCTCCAAAATCTCTTTTCTCTGCCATCTCATTAATTCAGTAAAACAGGTGTATTATCCTTATCCTTGTTATTATCCTTTCGTTGTCTGTTTTACAGACAACAAAACTAAACTCAATTAAATAAAGGGAGAATTCCTTTCTGATACAGGATTCTGGAAATGCAGATAGTCAAAATGATGTTATCTCATGTCTTACTCTGGAGTTGGAGGAAGGTAAGAAAAGATATGAAAGAGTTTGTGCACTTAAAACTTTTGTTAAGATCAGCTGAAACAGGCTGGGAACAGTGAGTGGCTCGTGCCTGTAATCCTAGCATTTTGAGAGGCTGAGGCAGGAGGGCTGCTTCAGCCAGAACTTTCAGAAGAGCCTGGGCAACATAGGGAGATCCTGTCTCTATTAAAAAAAAAAACAAACACATGAAAAAAAAATAGATCAACTGAAAGAAAGAAGGTAGCAGGATGGTTTGGAACCTTAATTTAAAATAATGCAAAGTCACCTGTCCCTCTTCAATCCCTAATTCTCCAGCCCCATATCAGTTTATGAATTAAGGTATGCATACTGACTAGTGTGGCTTTACCAAGAATTTGGAATGTGCAGAAATGCCAAGTAATCAATTCCTTAGACTCTCTTAATGAGGAAGATGATGAGAGATTTCATAGTAAAAGCTCACATCCTTTTATTGGGAAACTGGGTTGTGAAGGTGAGAGAAAAGGATAAAATTACAGAATACCTAGAATATTAAAACAATAAACAAGAACTCAAATACTAACATTTTCCAGGTACCCTAAAATTACTGAGAACTTGGTCCATATCTGTTGACACTCCTAGTCCTCAGTGTAACCCTAAGAAGAGTGGGGTTGAGATGAGTCCTCCAGGAATCCCTGTAGGTTCCCCTGCCATATCTCACGATGTCTTACAACCTGATTCTGGACTCTTTTGCTAGACATTACTCATGTTTATGAATAGCTGTCTCTCCTTTGCTTCTGGCCACATAGAAAACTATATTTCCCAGCAACCTTTGCAGTTGGGTCATGTGACTAATTTCAGCCAACAAAATGTGAAAGGAAATCCTTCTTTTCTAGTTTGAGGCCCTCCATTCTGTCTTCCCAGCTGCAGAAACTGAAGGAGCAACCTGTTCCATCCAGATGGCACAGGAGAGGCCCAGGGAATGGATGGATGAGCAGAGGAGGCTCAAGGGAGGACAAGGTGATGATAGTGAGAGGGTAATTCCTAGGGTTGGAAATAGGAAGTGAGAGAATGGAAGACATGGTGGGCACCGATCTGTGTTCCTGAGTGTCTGTATGGAGCAGTCCTTTGCCAACCTGTGTTTGTTGTGTAATGTGAGTGAGAAATAAGCTTTCGTTGGGCAAGCCATGGAGATTTGGGGGTTGTTCTTGCAGCATAAGGTAGCAATGAAGCCCCTTCTTACTGACCTCAGACCTCTTCTCTGCCTCTTTGCCTGACCCTGTTAGGACTGGCATCTTCCTGTGGGTGGTTCCTATGATTCCTGAACCTACTTTTGACCATGAACACTGACTTCAATTCTTTTCAAATCCATTTTTATAACCAAGAACTGGCCTTGTTTCCCTCAGTAGCTGATCTGACTGCCTAATCCCTACCCTAGGAAGGGACATTTGGATACTCTGGGAAGTTGGTTAACTTTTCAATGGAAAACCCACCATTGAAGTGAATGTGATATAGTCAGCAAACTCATTCTAAAACACGTTCTCAAGATTCAAATAGAGTTTGAGTCACAAGTGCCTTGTAGAAAGGTTTTTTGTTACAATAGACAACATGGTCCATGAACTAGAGAGAATGTCTACAATATACAATTCGTAAATTACCCTTAGCTTTGAAAACCCATCGTATGGAATGGGACAAGAGTAATACCATCGTCTGTCCTGGGGGCAGTCTTCAGAATCTCTAATAGAAATGTTTCCAAGGAGAAGAGACACTTTTTCACTAGGTTTTGTGGAAGCACATTTTAAAAAATATATATGCGTTGTCCCTTGTCCTAGAGACCAGCTGCTGTATCATTCATAGGATTATGACTAAAAAGAAAACACAAAGTTCTAAAAATACAGTGTAGCTTTTAAAGGTTGCTTTTTGCATAGTTTGTCTCTAGATGCACCAGAAGACTAGGCATTGGAAAGGCTCAAATACTGACCTCTCTATTCTCATGAGCAGAAAAAGAGGGATTAGACTCCTATCTCCTGAATCTATACTCTAAGGAGGCCACAGGGGGCTTCTGATGACTTCAAAGCCAGGCTAGCATTTTGATGAGGCCTTTTGTGTGGAAGCAAGATAAAGAAGTGGGGCCCAGATATACGAGAATTAGGAGGGTCACCAGTAAAGAAGGCACCCTCCTGCCACACTTACCCCCTGGGCGTGGCCTCATTTCTTTCAATGCTTTTTAAAGTTTGAGCTAGGTTGAGATCATCTTGATTCAACAGTCCTATTTTACAGCTGGGAAGACTAAACCTAAAGTGAGGAAATCAATTGTGCAGTGACACACAGCTATGCTAGTAGGAAAAAAGTGCTAGGTTTAGTTATCTTTCTTCCATCCCATGCTCCCTTGCTAGGCCCATGATATCTTCCTATGTTTGTAAGGTGCCAGTTCCCCAAATCATGCTGAGCACAGCCCCAAACATGATTATCACTTCAGACATTCAGGAAACTCTTTGATTGCTAATATCTGTGGAAGGAAGTTTAATTGTGATTTAAAACAAAAATACAACTGAAAAAGTAAATGTGGCCGCCCACGATGAAAACAGTTTCAGCTTTCATCATTGGGATCCAAGTTCAGGCAGAAACCATTCAGAGGAAGTAGCTAGTAAGCCTTGAGCACTTGCTGTGTGGATAGCTCCACAGTAGAAGCTCCTGTGGGTAGAGATATGGAGGAGGTACAGGCTGATCTCAGGATAGTTGCATGAAGAATCTGATCTCTTTGGCCTAGCTGATCAGCCACATGGCATGGAATGGTGAGGAGAGATGTGCCTTTGAAATCAGAGTGCCAGGGTTTGAATTCTACATCCACCAACTGCCCCTACTACTTTGGGCTTAAATTCACAGAGCCTTAGTTTCCTTGCCTGCAATGTGTAACTCTAACATTATCTATCCCATATGGTTGCTCTGAGAGTTAAATCCTGTTGCTGGAGCTGAGATCATTGTTGGCTTTTAATCTAGGCAGTACACAGTAGTGGGTGAAAATCTGGGCCATGCAGTTAGACGGTTACATTCAGGTCTTTGCTCTACTATTTACTAATCTTATGACTTTGAATGCTACTTAATCTTTCTGTATCTCAGTTTCCTTTCTGTAAAATAAGGACAATATTATCTACCACTTTAGGTTGTTGAGAATAATTTATGTAAAGCCCTTAGCACAGGGCCTGCAATATAGTAAGCACTCAATAAATGCCATTTGCAATTATTCCTATTATCAATAATCTGAGTGAATTCTTTCTGTAGATGGAGGGACCTGAATTATTTGCTGTGCTTTGGTGACCCAAATTGCCCATGATGCCTCCCTTTGTGGCTGCTCTCCTCATGCACTGGATCAGGCTTAATCTCAGCATGGGAGGGGGTGAGCCAGTGCTTTCCTCCCTGCCCCCTCTGATGTGGAAGTGAGGAATGCTGGCTTAGATTCTTTCAAAGGGAAGCAGTGAGGAAGCCAGGGCATGGCTGGAAAGCAATGGGGTCCTATGTTTTTTGGGGACAATGGCAACCTGTAAGTCATCTTGGGAGGGATATGGGGAGAGAGGGGATATCAGGAGATATTGATTTTCAAAGGCCAAATTTCCTGGCAAAGTAAAAGAATACAAGAAGAAAGATTTCCTAAAGCTTTGGAGAAGAAGATAACCAAGAAGAGGCCCTCAATCCTCAAATGCACTATTTGTATTAAAAAAACTCCATTATACTATTTGATTTATCAAGAGCTCAGTATTCAGCACTGATTAACTCAAGGGGCACAAGACCACTGGGCCTTGGTCTCAAGAGAGAGCAATGGTATGTGGCAAGAGCAATGAAACTGAACATTAATTAAAGGCACAGCTCATTTTTCCAGTGGAATGAGGTTTTTGACTTTTAAGAGTTCCAAAAGGGTGACTTTTGCTCCAGGCAGAATGCAGAATTGGAATTAGATGCAAACCAAGGTGGCAGGCCTGCAGCAGCAAACTTCAGCCTCCTAGGCCGGGCTTTTTTGTCTCAGGCACATTATTGCTTCATTTCAATTCATTAAATTAGTATACCCTTTTCTCTAGCACGTATGTGCAGAAGGATACAATCTTACCAATACACACACACACACTCTCTCTCTCTCTCTCTCTCTCTCTCTCTCTCTGTCACACACACACACAGGCACACCCCCCTCCCACAAGATGTGGATAAATACTTGTACGGACAAATAGATCAGCAAAAGTATGCATTCTTAGTTCATCTTGCAATGGATAAACTGTTTTTGGAGCAGCTCTTTGGAACTGCATTTCAGAGGAAAGGGGTTGCTAAGAGTTTTGGAGGCATGGTCAGGAGGGGCTGTCATAACCCCCTCAAGAATCAGCCTCACTCAGTGGTCACTGCAAAAAGTTGTATGGAGGTTTGCAGCTCTGGCCTTGCTCTCCTGCATTCATCCTGGCAAGCCATCTCTCCCTGGCATCAGCAGCTCTGGTTCAAAGTTAGTTATTTTTACCCTGGAGTCTTGAGGGTGAGGGTCTTAGCAGAGCTGAGCGGCATCAGCTTGCTGGCAAGCCCAGGAACTGCCCCTATACCAGGCTCTGCTGCTGTGGCTGCCAATTTCCTAGGTAGCTGGCCAGTTAGCACGGGGGTGCTGTGCTAACAACTGGCAAACCTGTTGGTCAAGTGCCTATCTTTGGGTTGAGAAGTGATTACATCCCTCTGAACATGGGGCTAAACACTATGTCCAGTTAGGGGAGAGCAGATTCACTGGACCATATGGGGAGTCAAGCTGTGTTTGCTCTGTCCTGACCACTTTTCCCCTTGTGACAGGTTAAAAATGGGGCTGTGGGGAACCTCCTGGGGAGCTGCTGTTTACTTCAACTAATAATAATCTCTAACTCTTTCTGTTTAACCACTGCAGAGCAGTGATGTGGACATTGCTGGCCTCTGATCAGTTCCTAGTTCTCAAGGCAGTTTACACCAGTGAGCTAATAGCAAATGCAGAAAAATGAGGACACTGGTGTGAGTTTTTCAGAGAGCTAATTTAGTTTAGCAGAAGGGACTGTCTTTTTTCTAAGATTAGGTCCTTCTTACTTTTTTTTTTTTTTTTTTTTTTTTTTTTTTTATTAATGTTTTTTTTTTTTATGAAAAGGTTGTGACATTAAATTTTAGTTAGATTTTATTTTTTAATATTCTTTTTTTTTTTGGCCCAAGTTAAAAGTTAGCAACACATTATTAATTTACTTAAACATTTTTTTTAAAATTATTAGTGAAGGGCATGATTGGGAAATCAGAGTTCTCAAACTTATGCTTGTCAGAACTGCCTGGAACATCTGTTAAAAGAGGGATGGCCAGTCCCCGTCCCCTGAGTTTCTGATTCAGCAGGACTGGGGGTGGGGTCAGAATGTGCATCGTTAAGAAGTTCCTAGGCGATACTGCTGCTGACGTTCTGGGGACCACATTTAGAGAATCAGTGGTCTAGCCTGCCCAAGGTGCGGTGGGGAAGGCTTGAACTGTGGAGGGAGGGTCCTCACTTACAAGTGGAAGCCCAGGACATCCCTAACTCCTGCCCCAGGGCAAGGAGGCACAGACAGTGTCCCAGACTCTCTGAAGCAGTGGATTTCAGATTTCTTTCTCTAACCCCTGACTAAGGGAGCCAATAATGTAGGCTGGGAAGAAAGTTCTCCTATGAAAGAAAACAAGATTGCTTTCTGAACTAGCTGATACTACAAAGACCACACTCTCCCATTTTTAAGCTGGAGAAAGAGAATGTTCCAGGCTGTCTGCCTGAGATGTCAGCACAGAGTCTGAGTGTGTCAGGAAATTTCCTACTCATTGGTTATTTTCACCTTCAATGGCCATGAGCTGTAAGGAAGATAATCCAGATTTGACTTTCATGGGCCTGAGGGTGATAGGGCAGAAGGTGTGAGACTCTGGGTAAGGAGTCTGTCAGGGACACACTTATCTGCAATGTCAAGGTGACTTTTAAAGGTCATTTAAAAGTGCTCTGAATGTTTTCTCCCTCTTGGATTTTTCTACGTGGGATATCCTCTGAGGCTACACTCATTTTATCTCATTTATTCTCTAAATTAATTTATTACCCTTGTGTATTTCAATGTTTCTATAATACTCGTTTAATTTGTATGGTGAACACTGTTAAAATAACCGGCACCTGGCTCCGTGTGGGGCTAAAAGAATCCTGCACATTACTGTCTCTTCAAAAGCATGTATGTTACAACAGACAACATGCAGAAAAAGCCAAAAAACATACAAGAGAAATACTTAGCAAACAGTAGAGGTAACTGATCATCAATTTTCAAAGTGTCCAAGTTACTTCTTGGGGGTAAACTAGCTATATTCAGATCTGCTATTAACTCTGTGTCATAACTATGGGATACATTAAATCGTAATGAATAAATGTTGTAGGGGTCAGGCATATAAGCAATTAAAATAAGAAATTATTTTGGGTTTTCAGAAAAAGACAACTGAAAGAGTCAGGTTTGTACTGTTTTTGCTCCTTGACACAGCACCTGGATAAATAATGTAAAAAGTGGATGTTTGAACCCCAAGTTTACATCGTTCAGTTAAGATACATTTGCATCCATTTCACATGCTCCCCTGTTCAGTTCCAAATCCGAAGTCCATCCAGGTCTTGTACTTGATGAGATGGCTCAGGCCAAGACTTACAACCAGATGAGATGTGTTCAAAGGGCTTACTTAGGCTGATGGTTTTGCTGCATGGTATACTGCAACCAGGAAACAACCAACTGACTGAGACTCAGGCCTCTGCCAAGGGGAGCTACTTACGTTTGTCCTGCAAGGAATCGTGGGGCACTTCTCCCTGAGGACTCTCTTCTAAATCTCCGTAATGCAGGACTTTGTGATTTGGCGAAAGCCGACAATACCAAAACTTGTCTGAGAGAAAAAACACAAGTTTACAAGGTAAGTGATTCTGGTTTCTAAAAATACTAGCCTGGTTATTTCTTAATACTCTTCCCTGGAAGAACAAGCAGTTCATTTGATTTTAAGTCTTGAGGGAGAATAAATTCTAGGGCCCTGGGCAGTAAGTTCCCCTTTGATTTTGATAGTTATCACCAGTCCTGCTTGGCGTGCATTTGGTAACCATTAGTTAAGTCATCCAACCCTTCAAGCTCAACAGCAATAGATTTTATGAGGTGGCGGTTTCCAGAGGGTATTTTATCACTAATGATAACCACCATAGGAACTGCTCCGTATTCATTCAGGCCTGACAGAAGAGGGAGGGAGATACAGATAAAACCAGATTTCTCAGAATGTTTCTGCTTCCCCTTTCCTCTCTGAGAATTTTAGACTGTTGAGATAGTTGTATCCAAGGCCATATTTTAGTTGATACAACAAAACCCTACCCTAGGCTACCATACACACATTAACCATGAACAAATCGTTAGGATATTGGTGATACATATGGTGGGTGCGATTCATGAGGAAATCATCTAAATAATTCAGAGATTTAGCCAAAGAATGGGGACATGAACAATCATTCTCTCTAATTCCCAGAATTTACTTCTCTGAATAGGCATGACCAGGGGATTAGGGTCACTGTCATAAACAACTTCCTAAGCTTTACCACCTCAGTCTCTCAAAAGTAAGAAGAAATTTTGAGTAAGTCTAGGAGGCAGGAAGAAAGAGGCAAAGAGCACTGTTTATAGATTAGGGACTTGAACTGTGACAGCAATGCTTGCACATCTCTCAAGGCTCTGTTTAGATGCTGTCACCTCCGGGAAGCCCTCTTTGATCACTGCAGACAAAGGGCCTCTCCTCATCCTCTGAGCTTCTTTAAAATCTTTGTACCACCCATTTGGCTTGGACTGGCACTATTGGAGCCTACATGTTAACAACTTAGTATTTCCCTTTATCTGCCACAGACCCTAGGTAAGCAACTTGCCGTTGAGGGTGTATTGTGAACAATTAATACTGACAGGAGAAGGAGACTCCAGCCCTGACAGTGTGAGGCACACTATCTCTCTGATGACAGTCAACTGTCTTCATAATTGCAATGGCCCAATCTCTTAGCACAGCGCCTGACACATAAAAGTTGCCCAGTTGGCATCAGCTAAGCTGATAAACGAAGACCCAAGGGGACCTGATCAAAATGCCTAAGGCATGCAGTATGTGTCACCTACAAGCCCCTTTGCACCACTGTGTGGTTGATACCCTCTGTGGTCTTGGTTGAGTTACCTCATTACTGTGCCTGAAATATAATTTGTTTTGAAGCCACATTGACTAAAAAGCTCTTCATTATATTTTAAGAAAAGTGGTTTTCTATCTAAAATTGCTGTTAGTGCAAACCCATGTTTTAATTATGATTCTTTTAATAGAAAGTGAAGTTTTAAGAATGGAAGTAAAAGCCACACAATGAACAAAGAAAATGCCCAAATTTGATCCACAAAAGGAGAGTGTCTCTGTGGTTCTTATCTTCCTTGTCTTTAAATAGACTTTGAGAATTCTGAAGTGTAGTCAGAATATGGCAATCCATAGATTTAAAGAAATATGAACTCTGGTGGAAAAACTTGAGCGGGAAAAAGCCCATTTAGTAACTAGGAAAACATTTGAAATTATTAAATTTCAAAATTATGCTATGTATACAGCAAACATGGGTCATTGTTCTGGGAGAGCATTTCAAAAGGAGAAACCAGTTATTCTCTGAGTAATTCACAGACATTTAAATTAGGCAAATGTGTACTTATGCATTTTTCATGAGGAGAACAACTTTGGGAATTTGACTTGTAACTCACAATAGGAATTGTGAATTGCAGAGTAGGAGACAATGCTTTTAGAACATCAACAGTGCTCTTGGGGGCCCGTGGGGGCTGCCTCTCTCCACAGGTCCTTTCCTTTGCCCTACATGGTTGTGGTGACCAGAAAGCCAGCTGGAGAAATCTGTTGTAAAGCTCTCCTTTCCCTGCTGCATCTAGGTTATATGTTTGGCTAAGTGAGCTACTTTAGGGTGATAGAGGCTGGGAAGGAAGACAGTCAGAAGTGGCACTTGGACATGCTGGGCTTATTGTGCGTTAGGTCTTAGCCTGTGCTTTATAGGAATCCCTGGCTTCTCAAGCTGGGGTAAGTAAACTCTAGGGGTCAGCAGTGGGTCTTGAAGCCAAGCCAATGTGTCACAATCAAACAAGATCAATGACACTCAATTGATTTTGAGAGGAGGAATTAAGAAATCTAACTGGTGCACAGTATAATACAAACATACATTATCATAGAGTAAATTACACAACTTAATATTCATGTGTAAGATATATTGATTTGTAAGACTTCAAAAATTTTGCTGCATCTACTTTCAGAATAAATTTGTTTATCCAATGAATACTTGCTGAGTGGTTGTGTCTACAATGTACACAGCACTCTACTAGGTGTAGCAAAACATCATTAGAATGGAAGGCAGACATGAAAGACAAAGGCAAGGAGCTCAAGGAAAAGGAGCTCCCTCAGTTCTTCATGGCAGCTACAGAAAGATGTTGTTTCCCAGGTCTGGGAAGTAGGCACCGGGACAAATCAGCAAGTCTGGCTATACTATAGGGAAAAACAGGAATGCAGAAATCTCTTGTGCAACATATTCTTATATTCAGAAGTGATTAGAGAACAGTGGCTATTTATCAGAGTTCCGAGAGGCAAAACAGCCATCTTCCTTGCAAAGTTACAGTTGATATTTGTTTAAAGAAAACCCAACGGTCTGCAGCAGACAGATTTTCCTCCTTTCCAAAGCTTACATTCCCTTGACTTGCATGACACCATTTTGCCCTGGTTTTCCTCCTACCTCTGGCTAATTATCTTATCCTATACCTGTTCATATTTTTCTCTCTACTACTAAAACGATAAAAAGCAAAAGATTGGCACATCACAGATATAAGTGATGTGTTCCACTCCCCCCTATCAATTAGAAAGTCTTGGATGGATGACAAAATATTGGAAAAAGGGCTTGAAAAGGATGAGAAACTTGTCTTGTCTCATAATCACATGGGAGGCTACTCAGCCAGTATCTTCCTCAGGGTAAAACTGGAGTCCTTAGCTTTGGAAAGCTTAGACGTTGCATACTTCTGTGTTGAAAGGAGAGCTGCTATAAGGACCCGCACCGTGCGTCAACATGTTGGGTGAGACAAGTTTCAGTGTCAGCCACCAGCGGCAGCTTGATTTGCAGCTTCTATTATGACAAGAAAAATGTGTATTTTCCTTTCAAAACCCAGCATGATGTTACTTGTTCCTCTATTCCTCTGGGCAATGAAAGAGTGAATTGCGTCACCAAAAGCAATTAGCAGGAAGCAGTGAGAACATTATCGAAGATTGTTTACTAGCATTTAAGGAGAAAATAAGAGTTAATATGGAGGTCTTCCAGCCAATTACTAATGAGAATACGTTAATAGCCGCTGCTTCATCTTCAAACCCAAGACAAAATATGGGGACAATTTAGAGTTTCAATCTTTTTTTTCTTTGAGTGTGCGTGTGTGTGTGTGTGTGTGTGTGTGTGTGTGTGTGTGTGTGTAGGATAAGAGGGAAAAGCTGATTTCAGAGCTTACAAGCCTGGTAAGAAAGGCTGATTAAAGCTATCCCCAATGTCACATAGATTATTATGGACCTAATAACCACTGTCAACAGTAATTTTTGCAGTGCCATCCAACAGAACTTCCTGCAATGCTGGAAATTCTCTATATATGTTTTATCCAATACTAAGAAAAAAAATTTAAATTTTCTTTAATTTTAAATAACTTAAACAGCCACAGGTAGTTTTGTCAGACAGTGTGGCCCACTGTCCGTCTTCATCATCCAGGCTGAAGATAAGCTTGGGGCTGGTCCCCAGGTCTGTAGGAGAGCCCAGCAAGCTGAGCAATAGCTACCACTGGTGGGTGTGAAATGCCGGCCAGTTCAGTGAGACACAGGGTACAGCAAGAACCAGCCCTGAGACTCAACCGTGGATTCAGGACACATCTTTGTCTTGAGCATAGAGCCTGCCGTCGGCACCTGGGGGCTGACCCAGGGAGCCCAGAGAGTCCTGTGTTAGGGAGGACAGACTTTTCTAAAAGATGTCTTTAGAACACTTCCATTAGGATTCTGAATTTTCCTAAGGATAACCTAAAATGTGCCAAGTCAGAACAAGGCCGGCTTTCTGCCTAAGGTCCAACCTTCCCAAGTCACAAAACGAGAGGAACCCAGCAATGTGTTTAAAGGGAAACGTCATCTTTCAGGCGATGAGACCCAAGTTTTTTTGTTGGTTCAGAAAAGGGAAACAACTATCGATACAGACAAAGGGCATTCTGCTTTTCAAATCTTCCTACTTAACTGGCCTTTCTTTAAAAGGACAGATTGGTGTTTTGATTCTGAATTCTGCCTCCCTGGACATGGTTACTCACAGCAAATGACACAGGAGTCCCCAGACACTTTCCAGGATGATTGGGTCTAACAGGTGCCTTGAAGTCACACACACCTGCATTACACACCTGGCCCTATGGGGCCTTGGCCTAATTATAAAAACCTCAGTAATCTCTGTTCTTCATATGTCTAATATGGTCATAATTATATGAGGAAAACACACATAAAGTATGCATCCTACGTCTTCCAGAATTGCTTCTCAATAGAGATTTGTCCTTTCCTGCTCTTCCAGTCAATGGTAGTCCCTCTTGTCCATACCACTGCCCCTCCATCTTTTGGGAATAATGATTATGTATTATTCTGATCTATTGAGAAGTGTCTTTTTTTTCCTGAAAATGAACTGGCTTTTCTTCATTTGAAAATATGTATTTATGTATACCTGCCTTTTTGTAACAAACTATTAAAATTTCAACCAGGGATAGAGGAAGGAATGACCTGCTCCCCCCAACAGGGCATAATGATTACCGTGCCTGAACACACCACTTGGCCCTAGATCTTCTGACAGGGCCTCAAGAGCAATGTAAGATATACCAGCCTTGCTGGCAGGAGTGGTAGGCACGCATTTTGCCCAGCAACGAGTTCCAAGACAAGCCTGTCATGTCAGCACTTAGGCAATGCTGGTCAATGAAACAGACACTGTCCTCCACAAGAGGTTTCATGTTATCACTTCTTCAAATGATTTCCAGTGGTAGCCCTGGGCTCTTACCAAGGCCGTTCAATGCAAGTGATTCTGAAAGACCTTCATCTATGAAATACAAGGGAAGTAGGGGGCAGTTCTTAAGCCTATAGATTCTCATGAAGCAAACACTGGCTGGTGTCATTTGGATCTGTGTCCTCACCAAATCTCATGTGGAATTGTAGTCCTCAGTGTTGGAGGAGGGTCCTGGTGGAAAGTGACTGAATCATGGGGGCGGAGTGCTCATGAATGGTTTAGCACCATCCGCCCCTTGGTACTGTGTAGTGATAGACTCCTTATGAGGTCTGGTTGTTTGAAAGTGTGTGGCACCTCCTCTCTCCCCCTCTTCCTCCTACTGTGGCCATGTGAAGCTCCTCGCTCTCTCTTTGTCTTCTACTATGATTGGAAGTTTCCTGAGGTCTCCCCAGAAGCAGAAGCTGTGATGCTTCCTGTACAGCCTGCAGAACCGTGAACCAATTAAACCTCTTTTCTTTATAAATTAGCCAGTCTTAGGTATTTCTTTATAGCAATGCAAGAATGGACTAATACAGTGTCCCTAATACAGACAGCTTCTGGAGTTTTATCTGAAATCTCTCCTATAGAAGTCCAGGCAACACAGAAGCGAGGCAATTTCCATGCCAAGGATTCTGTGACCAGAGCTTATACTTCGTGGTCGGTAAGTATAAGCTCAGGAAGAGAGTGGAGTGATGCCGGTGTGTGGCCTCCAATGCCATTCTACCTCCTGTGTTTAGAAAGATATACTCTGGCCAGGCGTGGTGGCTCACGTCTTTAATCCCAGCACTTTGGGAGGTGAGGCAGGTGGATCACCTGAGGTCAGGAGTTTGAGACCACCCTGGCCAACATGGTGAAACCCTGTCTCTACTAAAAACACAAAAAATTAGCCAGGCATGGTGGCAGGTGCCTATAATCTCAGCTACTTGGGAGGCTGAGGCAGGAGAATTGCTTGAACCTGGAAGGCAGAGGTTGCAGGGAGCCGATGGTGCCATTGCACTCCAGCCTGGGTGACTGAGTGAGACTCTGTCTCAAAAAAATAACCCCCAACATCTATATTCTGAGGCACTACAATCTAAAATTAATAGATTTTAGATCTATTAATCTAAAATCACAACATCATTAATGAATGTTTGATAATCTGCCAAGCATCAAAGTGCTATAGATGTATAATTTTATTTAAACCTTACGGCTGTTTGATAGAGGAACTAACATCATCCCCATTTGAAAGAAGAAGAAAGAGAAACACAAAGACATTGAACAGACTGCCCAAGGCTACCCAGCTAGGGAGTAGGGAACAGGAGCTTCAACTCAGCTTATTATGCCTTTGGAGATATATTACCTCCCAATTCTAATGTGGTTAGAAGTCTCAGAAACCCAGAACTGTGAATGTCTACATCTGACTATTCCAGTAGCAGCAGAGTTGCACATGAGACAGGTAGAAGGACTGGCAAGCATCAACTCGGGGACCTTCTAGCCAAATGTGGCACAGTTGAGCTCTCTCTATTTGTTCCTTCACTTTTCAGTTCTGTGGAACTGTAAGTTTTTTCATATTTTCCCTTAAAAGGTTAACTACTTAAATTCACATTCACTCATCTGTGTCCTCCTCATTGTCAGACAAGTTTAAAGTGAGTATGGCCCTGGCGCCTACATTGGGAGCGCCTGTTCCTTAACCTACGATGGCATCAGGCAGGCGGTTGTCCAGCCCAGTCTGAGATCTCACGTAGAAGCGCATCTTTCTCGAAGGGATTAAAAATGTCATGTTCTCATTAATCTGTGTAAATCTAAATGGAATGTTTTGATGGGGTGATAGGAAACCAATTTCAGCACAGTCTGCTTTGAATCCCTATTTTTAAGCACAGAGCCACTCACCAGATTTCAAATCCATTTACCAAATACCAAAAAGTCTTCCTTTCTGCACTCGGAAGGATGATTTTGTATTAAACACAGATGGTCATGCTCCCTAGGGAGCTCAACTCATAAATGTATAATCTAGATGCTAATAATTTTTTGTTCAGGAGGTGGTTCATTTTTAGAAAATTGGAAAAATTTACAGATGCGGGACTAACATTTTTCAAACAACAACAATAAAAAGCCTGTTAATTATTCCATCTAGCAACAGGATTATTCTGATAGAACCTACCCATTTCAACCCAGTCAGGGAAGTCTCATGACGCAGTAGACCAGAGGTTAAATTGGTGCTAGGAGCTACGTTGTGAAGGTTTTTAGCAGGGCAGCAGTAGAGACACTGGGTATCTATTTGCCATTTCCCATCCCCAAACTTCTGTGCCCTTTGCCCAATGTCAAGTAAGTAAAAATCTTACAAATCATCTTTATGGGGACAATATATTCTGAAGACTGATTTTTCCAAAGGCAATAAAGACATCAGCGCATACAATCGACTCTCTGACTAAATGAGCTCCTGGATCCCCTAATCCTGTCCTCCCACTTTACAGATGAGAACCTGGGGCCTTGAGAGGTCACATGTCTGTCCTAAAGACACATAGGTGGTGAATTAAAGAATTGAGAAGCCTGGCACCAAGTCCACTCACTCTGGCTCACTGCTTTTTTCCTACACAATCTTGCAGAATAGTAGCTGCCTTTGTTTGTTGTTTCTTGTTGCTACATTCATAATTGTCTCTCTTCCTCATGATAACCTTAGGAGACAGGCATTGCTATTCCCATTTTAGAAGGGGAAGGTGCCCAAGGTCACACCGCTGGATAGGTGTAGAGGCAAGACCGCACCCTCATTGTCCGGCTCCAGGGCTCTGTCCTTGCCACTGAGCCCTGCGGTCTTCTTGGAACACCGTTTACTCTGACATGATGCCTGATGCAAGGAATGCAAACAGAGGAGGACATAAACTCATCCTTCAGTGGTTTGAGTTTGCTCTCCTGCGGCAAGAGGGAAGGAGGAGTTCCCTCTTCCACTGCCCTCACTAATAGGAGGTTTTCCCTATAACTCAGCCCTTATTATTCTGCCCATTGTCTTCTCCTGAGGCTCAGCTTGAAATTCACTCTAACAGTTTCTCATCCTCTGCGAAGAACCTGCATTTTCATTCCTCCAGGAAGTTCTGTCTTTGGAAGTTCCTCAGTGTGATATTTAATGGTGACACATGAAATACTGCCAATTTACTGAATATTCAGCACAGGGCAGTTAAAGTGAATGGCTGGGGGATGGGTTCAACTGACAAACACAAAATGATTTTGTCATTAGTGGGTGAGCTCTGTGGCTGAGCGGGGCATCCAGCAGGTTTCAAAATATCTGCCAAAGTTTCTCCTGGGCCATAACTTGTGTCCTTAGCATAGTTGCTAATGCCTGTGGCTTGCTCCTGCTTCTTATTCAATCTCCTTGCCTCTTCCCAATCTTATTTTTCAGTTTTATGTTCTGGCTGTTTGCTTCTAGGAGAGTGTGGCATGAAGATGGCTGTGCAATCAGCAGCATGTCAAGAGGGCAAGCAAACAGTCAAGGATGCTTTACTTGTCTAGGAAAGAAACAGCTAGACATGTTTCCCACCTGTTGGGTCTAGTCTTTTGACATCCACTTGGATTTGACATTTTGAAGTTAGAATTTATAGAATTTATAGAAACAATTCAGAAATCTGCCTTGAGAAATTATGTAATTGATTCTACCCTATCTTAGCTCACTGTTACCTATATCCCTGTATAACATAATTCTGTCCTAGAAGAGAAGCAGTGTGGGGGATTTGACCATAGGGTCATCCAAGATGAAAACTCAAACCCAACAGTGAGTGCCAGCTCTCCTGTGGCAAGGAGAGCCATTAAAAGGAAGAACCCTGGAGCTGTGGGGTTTGAATCTTGTTCTTCTGTGACTTTGGGCCAGTTTCTCAGCCCTTCAGTCCCTCCATCTCCTAATCTGTAAACTGGGCATAATCCTAGTAGCTACTTCCTAGGGTTATGGTGAGGATAAAATGCATTATAAAATAATGTTTTTGAGAAATACCTGGCACAGGGTAGGCTCATATACATGTCCACCCTTGCTGATACCACCACTAGCAGATTTGTGGCACTAAATGGCAAAGAATGGCTCTTCATTTCTGTGGCTCTTCTGGTAACTGTAGACTTTGATTCTCTCTGGGTGTGCATGAAAACCAGAAACAACCTCGACTGCTATTCCTGTCCCGAGTACAATGCTGCATGGCCTACCCTTAAACCAACACCGTGCCCTGTGATTCTCCAGGTAGCAGGCCACTGTTTACCCCACCCACCTGTGGAGTGTCCCCAGAAACAATACCTTGCCTCCGCCGGGCGTTGAGTTTCCTAAAGCAGGTCCCTTCCACAAGGCGGTTCAGGCGTTGCTGTTTGATCAGCTCTAAGATTTCTGGCTGAATCTTCTCCTTTAGTTCCCTGTGAGAGGAAAAACACATATATTCCACAGCATGCCTTGAGAAGCAGAGCTTGGCTTGGTGGGCATCATGGGCAGGTGGGCAGGGGAGAACAAGTGCATCTTTTCATGAGCTTCCAATACCTCCAAATTGGCACTTTAGAGGTGTTTAAGAGTCAGTGGCCAGGGGCATAAGTACAACAACACAATAGATTCTGTGACACTTACAGAATTCCACAAAAGCACCAGCCACTTCAGTGATGTTTTTCTAGAAGAAAGTGTCCTGAAAAATTTCTTCTTTTATTTTACAAAGCCATATATGTAAATTTATGCAAAAATCGACTCAGTGCTACTAAAGCAAAAAATCCTTGGCTAACTTTTTGCCCCCTACACCAGGTAAACTCTGAGTGTATTTGTGTTCTGATTAATAAACAGGGATATTAGGCAACCACATGATGACTATGCCACATCAAACACTGTCTAGTGAGCAAACCACAGGACCACCTTTGCTTCCAATTCCATCATTCACAAATGGGGACAACAACAGTGTCCCAGATTCTAGCCCACAGAGACTAAGATAATGATGGGATAAATGAAAAATTATTTGCATCTTGTCTCAGGCTAATGCGATATAATTTAGTTTGAGATGCACTATGCTGCAAAGATATCATGATAGAGTGGAATGGTTTTCAAATCTGTTTTTTTAGAGCAGAGCTTTTCATCATAGGAAATTTTATGTAGCTCTCTAGCATTTGAGTCTAGTAAAGCCAGAACTGTTCTAGTTGAAGCTGGACAGGGAGACCCAGAGCCCATTCCTTATAACAGTGTAGCAGGTATTGGCCAGAGCCTAGATCTAGAAGTCAGAAGACGAGAGTTTCAGTCTAGGCTCTGCCCATGACTAGTATTTCAGGTAGCTCATCTAAGTGTCAGTTTCTTCATTTATAAAATGAGAATAAGAATCTTTCCTGCTGTGACTCCCACATGAGACAGAGTACAAGTCTCTATTAAGCACTGAGCAGGAATACAAGGCACGACTGAATTCGCTTTCATGACATTCCCTCCTTTCCTCAAGCCAAACAGTCCATAGGCCCATATTACCCTGTAGTCAGGCCTCATACACTCAACAGCTGCCACCTGAACTCTGGATTTGCGCTGACACTGAACTGCAGGCAGCTTGTTCTCACACGGTGCTCCACTCTGAGGAGAGAAAGGTACTCCTGCTTGGTGAGCACTTGCTATGAGCCGGGTAATGCAATATGCAGTTTTAACTCATTTAATCTTCCTTCCCTCCTTGCTCAAAATAACAGCTTTTGGGGTAGGTGTTAATATCATCATTCCCATCTTACAGAAGGGGAAACAACTCATGGAGGTTACATGTAGAATATGGGCATAGACTCAGGCCTTCCTTGCTCAAGCTGCTTTGATTTACTCATGAGAAAAGAGAAAAAAGTTACGTAAAAGGATGAGGCCATCTAACAGGGTATTCTAGTACTCCATTAATACATTTTTTTTCGAGGCTTAAGTGCCCTCAAACATTCTTTCATTTGATACTGTTCCAACTGAACATCTATAAAGCATAATATGGAAATTCAGCCCTAACAACAATTTGGGACATTTGTAAAGCCTTCTCTGTGCAGGTCTCTTAGGGTCTCATCTCAGGCTTTCAGATCACTAAAACTATTATTGGCACTCAGCTCTTCTAAAATGGACTCAGTAAATTGCAGCTTTGATGAAATCTGCACTGAGTGAAAAAGAAAGTGGGTAACTGCTAGGGAGTTGCACACAGCAATAAATCACCGCTCCCAACTTCTAAGTCCAGGTAACCAGGCAGAGACAAAGGCATGGTACCAGAGGATGGAGAAAATCTGAAGAAAGAGTTTTAGAATTTCATCAATTATTAGGACACACACACACACACACACACACACACACACACACACACACACATATATATATATATATATATATATATATATATATATATAGTTTTTCTAGGCCAGGGTTGAGTTATTAAAATGGAGATGGAGAGGAGGATGCAGTGATGAAGACCAAGGGAAGGAAACAACTGAAGGAATTCCAAGTAATCTTAATTGATGCTTTATGACTTTCTCGTATAAGACCCAGAGGTGCCTGTCACAACACATTTCATCGTGGAACTATATTCTGAGGATGTACTATCAGAGTAAGAGAGTTTGCTGCTATAAGAATTACCTCCTTTTTTTGTTATAAGCCCGAAGGACTCCAAAATGTGATTAGGCAACGAGGGAAACGAGATGAAGCAATTGCCCTCTGAGGTAAGCCAGGTAATAACCCCATTGGCTATAACTGGGTTTTGAAATTCTGAGCTTGTGGTCAGTCAGGCCAGGGTCCTAGGTTTAGTAGCTTTGCTTTGATAAATATCTTTCTCATTCTATCCAAAGGCCTTGCCAATAAATAAAAGGAAGAATATTAAAGGAAAGAGGATTTAAAGAGTGTGTGAAGAGCAGTTCAAAGTCCGGCACTGGAAAATAATTTCAAGATCAGGACCAGTGAGGCCACTGTCATACACAGAAGGCAGACAGCACCATTACACTGGTGAGATTTCTTCTTTGATTTGGGGTCTGCTCTACTGAGCAACTACCTACTGTCCATCTCTCTGCCAAACTCCAGGCTCATCTGTCTGTCTAGTTGGATGTCTCGTAGCTTCACATATCTAAAGCCAAACTCCCGATCCCCTGCTTTACTCGCCCTATCCTTTAGTTGTTAAGGCCCAAAACCTTGAGTTCATCCTTGACTTCTCCCTTTCTCTTACACCCCTAGGTACTTTCTAATCAATCAGGAAATACCATTGTCCTTTCTTCAAAATGGATGCCATTTTCAGTGCACTATAATCATTTCTCATCACCTCTTGCTTGAGTTATTGAAATAGCTTTCCCATTGATTTCCCTGCTTCCAAAAACTTGCTGTCTTAGAGCCTATTTCTAATACAACATCCAGAGGGATTATTTAAAGACCTAAGTTACATCACATTAGTCCTTTCCTCAAAACCCTCCAATGACTCCCCAACAAGGCCGTGTGAAATGAGGCTCCCTGTACCTTTCTGGTCTAACCTCCTATTGCCCTCTCCGACTTGGTTATTCTGCTCCAGCCATATTGGCCTCCTGTATATTCACTAAACACCCAGACCTGCTCCAACCTCAGGGTCTTTGCACTGGTGGTTCTCTCTGCCTGGAATACCCTTCTCCCAAATACCCACATGGTCTGCTCCCTTAGTCCCTTACAAGTCTATCAAATGGCACCATCCTAATTAAAGAGAGCAACTCTAACCAACCTATTTAGAACTGCACTCTATTTCCCTTATCCTGATTTGTGACTTCACTGCATGCATCCCCTCTTAACAAGCTATCATCTTGTTCACCATGTGTATTGCCTGTCTTCTCCCTACTAAAATATAATCACTGTATTATTTATTATATGTGGGGGAGGGAAATATGTCTGTTCTCTTCACTGCTGAATTACCAATGCATAGAATAGTGGCTGGCATGTGGCAGGCACTCATTAGATATTTGCCAGCTGTCGGAACACTGAACATTGTATAACTGACCAGACTGTTCTTGCATTGGTTATGAGAAAGCTTTGAGTGAAGCATGTGTCTGATCTTTAGCGAAGATGCAGATTTGCAGAGTAGGTGTCCTGCTTTATCCCTGGCTCTGTTTGATTTTGCTTTTCTTTATCCCTGGCTCTGTTTGTTTTTGCTTTTCTTTCTCACTGATTTCTATTGTACTTTCTAAGATAAGGGAGAGATATATATTAATACAAATACATGCACAGTGTCAGTTTTATCATTTACGTATCAACAGTATCACAACTTGTTAAATTCTGGTAACAGGCTAATGAGAGAGAACATTTCTTCAAGTGGATATTATGTCCCAGGCATACGCTAAGTGCTTTTCATGCATCACTTCGTCAAATCCTTGTGACAATCCAATGATGTAGACATGTTTGATATCTTCATTTTCAGAGAAGAGAAAAAGCAGGCTTAGAATGAATTACATAACTTGCTTATGGAGTCACATTTGTAAATGACCCCAGGCTAGTCTGATAGCCAATTGGGTCCAAGTTTTACACATTTTGCTTCTCTGCTTCACTGATGTATGTACTTGTGTCTCCCCTTCTACAACATAGTATTAGATGACCGATTTTTTGACTATTCAAGCAGTTTATATCCATTAACTCTGATTAACTGTGTGGATGGACTTACCTTCCCTGGTAAGTTACACTAAATAGGACATAACAAATACCTCCTCTTTGAAATAATTAGTCAAGGGATAAGAAATTAAATAGAGCTGCTTCAACCCACTGAATATATATTCCCCCAAAATATTTATTCACATGGAGTTTACATTTTTCTTCTCAGGAAACATAATCATTTTATAACAACAGGGTGTGTGGCTTAAGGGGTGTGCATGGAGCTGAGGTTTGCCACCATGCTGTGTGTGGCATATACAGAGGCAGGAGGGTGGCCTGATGGCTAGTGGGATTCCCCACTGGTGTTCAGGTCCCAGCCAAGTTGCTGTCCCTGTCTGAAAAATAGAAAGCTTGAACTAGATGGCCTTAATGGTGATTTTTCATCTTCAAATATCCTAACCCTCCAGCTTGGGTTAGATTAATCTCTGTGCTCTTTCTTCCCGTAACCAAGCACTGAGCCCAGTCTATGGTAAATACCCTACCCTAATCCCAACCTGTAACAGAGGGACACTGTCTCTGGGTCTTTGCTTTCCCCCAGCACCTTGGGCAGAACCTCGCATGTAGAAGTTTTTCAGTATGTGTTTGTGAAATGAACAAATGAATGAAAACAAGCATACATGGTCAAATGAATGAAAACAGGCATACAGGGTGTACTCCTTTCTCTTAGGTGACTTGGGTTTATCGTGTGAGCCATTTTGGCAGAAGTTAGACTTCAGGTAGCCCCATAATGAATTCCTATCTAGCACATCACTGTAATAGGCAAAACATATCGCAGCCACCCTCTGCTGGTTTCAGAAGCTGGAGTAATTATCAAACTGGTCCCTGGCCCTTCTGCTTAAAGGCTATGGCTCCTAACCACTCTTTGTGACTTTGCTGCAGCTACAGATATCAAGAACTCCCATGGGCCATGGTACTTCTTGGTCCATGGCCCAGGGATGATGCAAAATGTCTTACATCCATGCAGGAGATTTCCTTTATATTTGCATTGTTTCTCCTTGCTTAGAAAATGCACAGATAAGAACTTCTTATAATAAAGGGGAAAGAAACTTCAGAACATCACAGGCAAAGCCTTGGGAAGTAAAGATATAAAGCCAAAGCAGGAGTAAAATGTTCATACTTGCTGTGAGGTTAACACTCTTACTTGGAACAAAGTCAAGGTCAAATATTAATTCAGAGTCACTTGGCTTTAACGGAAGTGATTCCTCAAGCATCCCTTTAGGTTGTAAGACATTATCAAAAGCATAATAAAGTGTCCTATCTTTACATCTGCTGAAACATGTTATTAAATTCAGTGTACTGTAGGCCCTGGGATGTGGCAAGAAGCCATCATCCCTCTTTGCAGGTGAGAAACTGCATCTCTGAGGAGCCAGTGACTTATCCAGAGTGCATCCTGCTTGGTGTTTCTGGCTGTTACCGTCTTCTGGATGAGGACCAATGCAAAACCCCAGCAGTGCCTCTTGTCAAGGCTTGCTGGTGCTCATGCAGGCATGACTTAGGTTTTGCAGTGATGAAGCCAAAGTACCTTGGAAGCATTTGCCCTCCTCTGCTGACTAACTTCATGCCAACTGGTCTGCTGGGGTCTACTCTACAGTTTCTAACAGTGCTTCTTGAGATTGGAAAACAAATGCACAGTAGATGTTACAGCTTGGCTATTGCCCTTTTAGACTTGTGCACTTTTTTTTAATTGTTTTTTTTTTGGAGATGAAGTTTCACTCCTGTTGCCCAGGATGGAGTGCAATGGCACTATCTTGGCGCACTGCAAATTCTGCCTCCCAGGTTCAAGCGATTCTCCTGCTTCAGTCTCCTGAGTAGCTGGGATTATAGGTATGTGCCACCACACCCAGCTAATTTTGTATTTTTAGTAGAGACAGGGTTTCTCCATGTTAGTCAGGTTGGTCTTGAACTCCTGACCTCAAGTGATTGCCCACCTCAGCCTTCCAAAGTTCTGGGATTACTGGCATGAGCCACTGCACCCAGCCCTGTGCAGTTTTTTAACATCATTTCAGTCTCTCACATGCCAAAGGAGCTCAGGCAGGGCAAACAACTATTAGCTGAGGGGTTACTAGACTTGAGGCTAGTCTAGGCTCCTCCACTTGTTAGCAAGGTCCTCCCCCCTCCAGACTAGCCTTTGCATAGGAATAAGCCCTGCCTATCCTAGCCTTTGCATGGGAATGAGACCTGCCCATCTCATAGGGATGTGAAGAAATAAAATATCATGAAAGGTGCTTTACAAATTGCCAAGCATTAAAAGTGTCAAATACTGAAGAACAACAAACAAAAAGAGAAAGAATCAGAAACAGAGAGAGTACTTGTGTGTGTGGTGGGGGAGCTTATTAAGTATAGGCTTCAGAATTACAACTATGTTGCAAGTTGGCTTCATGCAAAAGCTCAGAAGAAGCTGTATGCAGTCTTCCGAGGACAACATGAGAATAAACATCTAACACCTATGCCTTTCCCTATTTTTTTTCTCTTTAGGGTAACGAAATTGACCTAGCTCTTAGAAATGGACACGGGAAAAGAAACAGGGCAGTTCTAAGAAAAGATGAAGCAAGAAAAATACCCCTCATGTGTGAGTTCAGAACATTTTAAAGATGGGAATACATGAAATTTTGCAATGGTTGCAAGTGGAATTTCTTGCAAAGCCCTGTAAAGTGGGGCCTGCTGCCTCCCCATGGTAGGCCTGTAGGTTCATAGTCATGAAGGCCATATAGCATGCTCCAATGCCAACTCGTGCCAACAGGGCAAAAGGAGGTAGATCACTCTCTTCATCTCAAGCTCTCACTCCCAGTCATTTGGACTCATGCCACTTCCGCTTTCATATTGCTTTAATTATGGATGGACCTCATTCTGGCTGGCTCAGAAGGTCTTGCTATTCAAAGGGGACCCACATGAAATGCAGTTTTATGGGCCAAAAGGAAAAAAAAAATGTTCCAAGTGTTGAAAAAGATCCAAACTTTGTAGCTACAAATTCCTGGAGGACTTGTCACTAACTGGGCCAACTCCTGGTTTAGATTCATTCTTGCAGCCCCTGGCCCTCTCCACTCAGCCCAGCCCTTCCTCAAGGAGCTGCTGAGACTCCCCTAACTAAATGGAGATCCCTTGGAATGTCTTCTGCTGACCTTTCCTAAGGAGCTCACAACACAGCCCAGCTTTGTGATAGGTGATCATTCTAGAAATAGTAGGTTAGAGTCTTTTGGGAGATAGAGGTCAATACGGGGTAACTTACAAAATCGGGCGGGACTGGAAGTCTTCCTGGTTCATCCTCTCAGACTGGCGGATTTTCAGGATCTCGGTGTAGCTCAGGTTCTGCAGTTTGCTCTTGAACTGGTCCAGGGAGCTAGGCTTGGTTGTAAGTGCTCTCATAACCTGCTCCTTCACCACCTGCATTACCTGCGACGAAAGGAAGACCATCATTTTCCTGGGGGCTGACCTTTCCCATTCAGGAAAGTCTCCGAGTCAAGGGTTCCCTGTTTCCCTGTTCCCCTCTGCATGCACATTCAGCATGAACCTCGAGCGTGCTTTTCCAAAGGGTAAACTTCCATTATGCCCATCTTCCATTTTCTCTTGTATTGCTGGAACACAAGGAAGGAAATGGATTGACTAACGGGGAACTGGTGGGGTGGGAAAGCTCTGGGTGGGAGGTGCACTCCACTCGCTTGACATGTTATGTGAATGCTGCTGACTCAACACTGTAAACAATGCCAACTCAAGAGTCAGGAATGAACGGAGGCCAAGCAACAGCTAGAGCCCTGCATAGTAATTATTTTTTTCCAGGAGAAAATCGCTGAGATACAATTAACTGTGGAAGTTTGGTTGGTGCTGGTTCAAATGAATATGAACAGATTCTCATACCCCTCTCTCCCAGACTGCCTTCCCCATGTAGTTAGGGCCTGAGTGTTCATCCTAATTATGCATTTGGAAATGTACATGTGGTATTGCCTCTTTGAGCCAGGCACTAAAAAAAGAGGTTTATTAAATTAGAACAGACATATCCCACTGGAATCCTCAAGAAAAAGGAAGAATATGGTAATTTTATGCCTCAGGACAGGGCTAGCCCACGAGAAGGCAATTAACCACTGCCTCCATTAATGTCGGTTCATCTTCATCAGGATGCATAAAGCAGGACAAGACCAGAAAATACCCAGAAGCATCCCAGAGACTTGGGATCTTGCTGGTTCGTTTTTCACCCTCCATCACAGATGATAGCAACAAGTGTTACCATTTATAGGTATCTGTGTGTCAGATGCTATGGTAGGTGCTTTATCTATGTTTTCTTTCTTTAACCACTCAAACCTATGAGGTTACTATTACCATCACCTCTACTTTACATATGAAGAAATTGAGGCTTTGAAACTTTAAGAAACTTCAAAATCATACAATTGGTTGTTAAGTGGCTAAGTTGGGACTGGATATCAGGATTGTAAACACGGTACTATGCTGCCACCCATGCCACCATTCTTGGTGTCATTTGGGAACTTAAAAATAAGACAAACCACAGATGTACCCCTGCTATATGCCGAATTCTGTACTAGGCAGTTTGCTGTTTACCACCTTATTTAATTCTCCCTACAATACAGTGGAGGAGGTGCTACCACCACTATTTAAAAGATAAGAAAACAGACTGAGAAAGGATTGATGACTTGGCCAAAATCACACATAGGTAGTTGAATCCTAGGATCCCAGGCAACCCAGGAGGACGGATTTGCCATAGACTTGATATTGAACAAATATGCATATATTTCTTGCTTTCTGTGAACTAATGGTTTCATAAGAAAGGTGAACATGGCCAAGGATCATTACACTAGAATTACAGAAATGACAGACATGACAGACTGATGGACTTTGTTGGCAGGTAGACAGGCTTTTCATTGAAGACATTTCATGGGGACAGAAACAGATGAATAGCCTGGAACACCACTGATATCAGTCGCTTTGAACCTGGGTTGCATCTGAATTGGAACCAACTGCATAAGTATTGTTTCACGCCCCCAGCATAACTATCATACAGGCAAATTTCCAGTTGACCTTTCACCAGATCTGCTTTTTTTTTTTTTTTAAACTCAGGCAAAATGCCAAATTTGGGATGCTTGAAAAATTCTGAAATCGTGACCATCTTACATCATGCGGCATAAATGATGATTAAATTTGGTCCAGGTTGAACTATAACGCTTTGCTGTATCATATAAGGGGTCCCATAGAGGGTGCTCCTTTACCCACTTAGAGACCCTCAAAGGTGAGATCATTACTGTTTTTCAGTGATATCTGGCTTTCTAGTGGGAGGCTGAACGTGACGAGAGACAAAGATACAGTGATAAGTATACCAAAAATAAAGATATGATTTTTAAATAGAATCAGGTCAAAGCTAAGAGTTTTAGAGCAATCTCCACTCCCCTCATTTTACAGATGAAGAAGGTGATTCCCTCATGTCATGTGTTTCTTAAGGGGCTGTCACAGAGATGACAGTATTTACACCACATCTGTCTAGACACAGGGATGGGCATGGTAAGTGGGCAGGCGACCTCAACTGACCAAGGAGCATCCTTTCCCAAACTTTTCTGATGTGTCTTGAGGCAGACCTGAAGCATGCTCTCTCTCCCTCAAGTTAAGAATTGTAACATGATGTCCCTTCATATACGGGAAAGGGCAAGATACCAATGCCAGTAGAAGCAAACAGAAGAAACCAGAAATGTGTGTGTGTGAGAGTGTTAACGGTCAAGCCTTGTTCAACTGTAAAGGTGATTCAAGCCCTGCATTTGGTAGTTTGGTTACATGAGCCTTTTTTTTTTTTCTTTAAGATGGTTTGGATGATGGTTTGGCTGGTTCTTGTGACTTGCAACCAAAGAGTCCCAACAAATACATATGGTGAAGTCCAAGAGGAGGACCAGCTGTGGGGCTGAGGTCATCCAGGGAGTGGGAGGAGTAGGAGAGGGAAGCTGGATGGAAATAGCAAAGTTAATTCAATAAGTGACTTTGAAAAATCACCTGCATTTACAGGCTCATGGGTGCACCTTGGCATGGATATCATGATGATCCCTCATGGAATGTGGGGAACTCTTTAACTCCTACTTATAGATTATGCTTAAAATCCACTCTTAGTGCCCTATTCCTCTAGCCTAAGACTTTGATCCCTGCTAGATGCAAGAACGCATAAGTAGAACAATCCTTTAAATTATCCCCAAATCACTTATACTTCAGTTTGAAGAAAGTATAGAATTTTTCCTAAGACTAGGTTGATAGGGAGAAGGAACAAGCAGGTACCTGGCCCCAGAGGAAGGGATGTAAGCAGTGGGTATAAAGCACAGGACAGAGGTTGGTAGAGTGAAAGACCAGCTTCACCTACTTCACAGTTTTGTTGGCACCAGCCTTGAGAAGTTCTACGGTCACTCTGCATGTCAAAGAAAATAACCTCAGTCAAAGGTATCATTAATTGTTTTAAGAAAACAAAATAGTTGTATGAGTCAAGCATTCCTCTGTACCTTTGCAATTTAGCTACAAGGTTTACAACTAATAGCTTTATGTCTCTGTTAATGTTTCACATGTGCAATTTAAATCAAGACATTCACAACCACCATCCTTAACTCTCTCTTCTTTAGAAAACATCACATCTTTTACCATTTGTTTGAAAAACCCACAGACAGCGTTGCGGAGGCATCGGAAAATCAATGGAATTAAACTTTTTAGTTACAGTACGGGCTTTGCCACAGACATCAAAGAAAGCATGCTCTTAGAATCTGCCTTTGCGGTTGGCGTTGCCCCATCATTCAAGTGTCAGTGGTGTGTTTCTGGAGTCTTCTTAGTCCCTGTTCTTTGTAATAATGTTACACATTACAAAAAAGTGACAGTCCTACAAGACATTTGTACTTCAAATGGAGAAATCATTTTGGCTCCTTGGAAGACCAGATTAAAGGTGTGAGCACAGGGGGTTCCTAAATGGAATCAAGCATTCTGGCAAAGTTCACCTATGCCCCTGCTCCCATTGTTGGTCATGTAAATGCACTCCTGTATTTTGTTGTAAGATCTACTAAGCCTCCATGTGCTCCTGGTCTAATCACTTTTCTCATCCTGCCTTTAACCCACAACCTTCAGCCATCATCATTTATTCATTTCTTTAACAAATGTTTTGTGAGTACCCACTCAGTGCAAGGCACGGAGAGACACTGGTGGCCTTGTGCCAGATGAGCTCTCAGCCTGGGACAGTGGAGACACATACTTGCCTCACTCAAGGGAAGACATGATGGCACAGGGGAGCAAGGGGTCAGGTGTTCACTCCACAAACACTTATGGAGGCCCTCCCAAAGGGCTGAGGGCACAGCACCAAGACTTCAGCTGGGGCTGGTAGAGAGGCCACATGCAGACAGGCTGAGGTGCAGGGGAGGGGCCATTATTGGTGACGGCAGCAGCCTGAATGAAGGCTTGGAGGGAGAAGGAGAACACAGCCATGTGCCGAGGTCTTGTTTAGTTAGAGAAATGAGGGGGAAGCGTGTGCAGCTGTCTTGTTTAGTTGGAGAAATGAGGTGGAGCTGTAAGGTGTGGTTGAAACGTAAGCTGGGTCAGATAGGGAATGGCTTTGATGGCTAAATGAAAAATTTGGATTTTTTTTTGTTTCTGTAACTAAGGATATGTTGCCAGAGGACTTTGGGGTCTGTGAAGAAATTTGATAATAGAAAGTTTGTTGGAACACTTACGAAATAGTCATTATTCCTGCACTAGCTGGTATAAGGAGGGGATGTTACAGTAGTCTGCATGACTGAGACAATATTTTTGCTGAGACTTGGAGGATGAATGGGAGTTACTCAGGTGAAGAAGAGGAGAAGGGAATTCTAGGCAGAAGGACCAGCATGAGCAAAGGAAAAGAGGTAGGAAGTACATGCTTCAAGCATGAAAGAAAATATGCTTTTCGAGTCCACATTAGTAGCTTTTGGCAAACGGACAGGTACTAGCTGCAGTATGGCTTCTTAGCCTTTAGAACCCAACATGTAATTTTGAATCCAGGCTGCATGTTTCCTGGGGCTGTGACCTTCCTCAAGATACTCAATCTCTCTCAGACTCATTTTTACCACTCCTAGACTAGGAGTGCTAATCATTCAGAATTCAAAAAAGTTGTAAATTGGATAATGCCCGACATCCTTTATAGTACACAGTGGATATCTAGCAAACCTAAGTTCCTCTTCCTAAACCTTAGTTTGCTCATTGTAGAGTGCTAGTAATAATATGAAATTCGTAGGGTTGTGAAATCTAAAGAAGATATAATAGCCAAAGTCCCTAATATACTGAATAGAATATGAGATGCCCAACAAATGTCAGCTCCCTTACTCTCCCAGAAGAAAATTAAATATGCAAGAAGCTTCTCCTATAAAAATATTTTGCATAGGGTATTCTTGGGCCACACA